ACCAGTGTCTCCCTACGCATTTCAGATATATTGACCTCTTTTAGCCGCTCTGTTATTCTTTTCCGTCGCCTGTAAAGGGAGCGCCTGTCTCTTTCTTTTTTTTACATCTACTCCTCCTTTTTTCTTAGAGGAATAACCTTGTGCATACATCGAGTGCTACCGAGTTAATCTGTTCTAGGCATAAGTTGGGGTCTGTGTTGCTTAGTATATCTTCCCAGCTTATATCGGTTAGGACTTGGTTTACTTGGTCCCACTTTATGTTTTTGTTATTGAAGTTGAATTTGGTGAATGCTCCCTCGTGACTAATCTCATTATGTCGGTCTGGGCCTCCGCGCATACATGACTGAACCTCAATTATGTTGTGATCTGAGTATATTGTTTTTGATATGGTGATATTCTTATCAGATCATCATTGTTAGTGAAGATGAGGTCTAGTGTATTCTCCAGTCTAGTAGGCTCTATTATTTGCTGGTTTAAATTGAATTTTGTGCAGAGATTTAAAAGCTCGCGTGAGTGTGAGTTTTCATCAGAGCTGCCTCCTGGTGTTATTACTGCAACAACATTATTTGCTATATTCCTCCATTTTAGGTGCCTTAAGTTGAAATCCCCCAGGAGCAAGATGTTGGGTGCAGGAGCTGGAAGGTTTTCCAGACAGTGGTCAATTTTTAACAGCTGTTCCTGGAATTGCTGGGATGTTGCATCCGGAGGCTTGTAGACTATCACAATGACTAGGTTTTGGTTCTCGACCTTTTCTGCTAAAACTTCCACTACATCATTTGAGGCATTTAGCAGTTCTGTGCAAACAAGTGACTCTGCAATGTAACAGGCCAACCCCCCCCTTTTGCCTGTTCACTCTGTCACATCTGTATAGGTTGTAACCTGGGATCCATATTTCGTTGTCCAAGTGATCCTTTATGTGGGTCTCAGTGAAAGCCGCGAACATTGCCTTTGCCTCTGCAAGCAGTCCACGGATGAAAGGTATTTTGTTGTTTGTTGCTGGCTTTAGACCCTGTATATTTGCAAAGAAGAATGTTATCGGACTGGTGGTATTGTTGGTACTGGGGGGGGATTTTTTTTCCGGCATTAGTATCTGTATCTGTTGGTTTGGAGTGGATGTCCACACCCGGTCACAACTGTAATGAGTTATTAGAGCAAATATTAATTGTTAGAACACACACACACACACACACACACACACACGAGGAGAGGTTAAGGGAAATCAACCTGACGACACTGGAGGACAGGAGAGATAGGGGGACATGATAACGACATACAAAATACTGAGAGGAATTGACAAGGTGGACAAAGACAGGATGTTCCAGAGATTGGACACAGTAACAAGGGGACACAGTTGGAAGCTGAAGACACAGATGAATCACAGGGATGTTAGGAAGTATTTCTTCAGCCACAGAGTAGTCAGTAAGTGGAATAGTTTGGGAAGCGATGTAGTGGAGGCAGGATCCATACATAGCTTTAAGCAGAGGTATGATAAAGCTCACGGCTCAGGGAGAGTGACCTAGTAGCGATCAGTGAAGAGGCGGGGCCAGGAGCTCGGACTCGACCCCCGCAACCTCAACTAGGTGAGTACACACACACACACACACACACACATGTGATGATGTATCACAGTGGGTCCCTGTGACGAGCGGGGTCCCACAGGGTTTAGTCCTAGGATCAGTGCTATTTTTTGGTATATGTAAATGACATGATGGAAGGGTTGGACTCAGAAGTGTCCCTGTTTGCAGATGATGTGAAGTTAACGAGGAGCATTAAATCAGATGAGGATCAGGCAGGACTACAAAGAGACCTGGACAGACTGGCTTCTCGAATTTAACCCCGCCAAGTGCAAAGTCATGAAGATCGGGAAAGGGCAAAGATCGCAGAGTATAGGCTAAGTGGGCAAAGACTGCAAACCTCACTCAAGGAGAAGGATCTTGGGGTGAGTATAACACCGAGCACGTCTCTGGAAGCACATATCAACCAGATAACTGCTGCAGCATATGGGCGCCTGGAGTTTACCTGGAGAGAGTTCCGGGGGTCAACGCCCCCGCGGCTCGGTCTGTGACCAGGCCTCCTGGTGGATCAGAGCCTGATCAACCAGGCTGTTGCTGCTGGCTGCACGCAAACCAACGTACGAGCCACAGCCCGGCTGATCAGGAACTGACTTTAGGTGCTTGTCCAGTGCCAGCTTGAAGATTGCCAGGGGTCTGTTGGTAATCCCCCTTATGTGTGCTAAGAGGCAGTTGAACAGTCTTGGGCCCCTGACACTTATTGTATGGTCTCTTAACGTGCTAGTGACACCCCTGCTTTTCATTGGGGGGATGGTGCATCGTCTGCCAAGTCTTTTGCTTTCGTAGTGAGTGATTTTCGTGTGCAAGTTCGGTACTAGTCCCTCTAGGATTTTCCAGGTGTATATAATCATGTATCTCTCCCTCCTGCGTTCCAGGGAATACAGGTTTAGGAACCTCAAGCGCTCCCAATAATTGAGGTGTTTTATCTCCGTTATGCGCGCCGTGAAAGTTCTCTGTACATTTTCTAGGTCGGCAATTTCACCTGCCTTGAAAGGTGCTGTAGTGTGCAGCAATATTCCAGCCTAGATAGAAACAAGTGACCTGAAGAGTGTCATCATGGGCTTGGCCTCCCTAGTTTGAAGGTTCTCATTATCCATCCTGTCATTTTTCTAGCAGATGCGATTGATACAATGTTATGGTCCTTGAAGGTGAGATCCTCCGACATGATCACTCCCAGGTCTTTGACGTTGGTGTTTCGCTCTATTTTGTGGCCAGAATTTGTTTTGTACTCTGATGAAGATTTAATTTCCTGATATTTACCATATCTGAGTAATTGAAATTTCTCATTGTTGAACTTCATATTGTTTTCTGCAGCCCACTGAAAGATTTGGTTGATGTAAGCCTGGAGCTTTGCAGTGTCTGCAATGGAAGACACTGTCATGCAGATTCGGGTGTCATCTGCAAAGGAAGACACGGTGCTGTGGCTGACATCCTTGTCTATGTCGGATATGAGGATGAGGAACAAGATGGGAGCGAGTACTGTGCCTTGTGGAACAGAGCTTTCACCGTAGCTGCCTCGGACTTTACTCTGTTGACGACTACTCTCTGTGTTCTGTTAGTGAGGAAATTATAGATCCATCGACCGACTTTTCCTGTTATTCCTTTAGCACGCATTTTGTGCGCTATTACGCCATGGTCACACTTGTCGAAGGCTTTTGCAAAGTCTGTATATATTACATCTGCATTCTTTTTGTCTTCTAGTGCATTTAGGACCTTGTCGTAGTGATCCAATAGTTGAGACAGACAGGAGCGACCTGTTCTAAACCCATGTTGCCCTGGGTTGTGTAACTGATGGTTTTCTAGATGGGTGGTGATCTTGCTTCTTAGGACCCTTTCAAAAAATTTTTATGATATGGGATGTTAGTGCTATTGGTCTGTAGTTCTTTGCTGTTACTTTACTGCCCCCTTTGTGGAGTGGGGCTATGTCTGTTGTTTTTAGTAACTGTGGGACGACCCCCGTGTCCATGCTCCCTCTCCATAGGATGGAAAAGGCTCGTGATAGGGGCTTCTTGCAGTTCTTGATGAACACAGAGTTCCATGAGTCTGGCCCTGGGACAGAGTGCATGGGCATGTCATTTATCGTCTGTTCGAAGTCATTTGGCGTCAGGATAACATCGGATAGGCTTGTGTTAATCAAATTTTGTGGCTCATAAAAAATTCATTTTGATCTTCGACTCTCAGTCTGGTTAGCGGCTTGCTAAAAACTGAGTCATACTGGGACTTGAGTAGCTCACTCATTTCCTTGCTGTCATCTGTGTAGGACCCATCTTGTTTAAGTAGGGGCCCAATACTGGAAGATTTTCCAGACAGTGGTCAATTTCTAACAGCTGTTCCTGTAATTGCTGGGATGTTGCATCCGGAGGCTTGTAGACTACCACAATGACTAGGTTTTGGTTCTCGACCTTTACTGCTAAAACTTCCACTACATCATTTGAGGCATTTAGCAGTTCTGTGCAAACAAGTGACTCTGCAATGTACAGGCCACCCCCCCCCCCTTTTGCCTGTTCACTCTGTCACATCTGTATAGGTTGTAACCTGGGATCCATATTTCGTTGTCCAAGTGATCCTTTATGTGGGTCTCAGTGAAAGCCGCGAACATTGCCTTTGCCTCTGCAAGCAGTCCACGGATGAAAGGTGTTTTGTTGTTTGTTGCTGGCTTTAGACCCTGTATATTTGCAAAGAAGAATGTCATCGGACTGGTGGTATTGTTGGTACTGGGGGGGGATTTTTTTTCCGGCAAACCTGAGAACAGCGTTCCGATACCTTTGTAAGGAATCTTTCAAGACACTGTACACCGTGTACGTCAGACCCATACTGGAGTATGCAGCACCAGTTTGAAACCCACACCTGGTCAAGCACGTCAAGAAATTAGGGAAAGTGCAAAGGTTTGCAACAAGGCTAGCTCCAGAGCTAGGGAGAATGTGTACTCACCTATTTGTGGTTACAGGGGTCGATTCATAGCTCCTGGCCCCGCCTCTTCACTAATTGCTACTAGGTTCTCTCTCTCCCTGCTCCATGAGCTTTATCATACCTCTCCTTAAAACTATGTATGGTTCCCGCCTCCACTACGTCACTTTCTAGGCTATTCCATGGCCTGAATACTCTATGACTGAAGAAATACTTCCTAACATCCCTTTGATTCATCTGAGTCTTCAACTTCCAATTGTGACCTCTTGTTTCTGTGTCCCTTCTCTGGAACATCCCGTCTTTGTCCACCTTGTCTATTCCGCGCAGTATTTTATATGTCGTTATCATGTCTCCCCTGACCCTCCTGTCCTCCAGTGTCGTCAGGCCGATTTCCCTCAACCTTTCTTCGTAGGACAATCCCCTTAGCTCTGGGACTAGTCTTGTTGCAAACCTTTGCACTTTCTCTAATTTCTTGACGTGCTTGACTAGGTGTGGATTCCAAACTGGTGCTGCATACTCCAGTATGGGCCTGACGTAAATGGTATACAGAATCTTGAACGATTCCTTACTGAAGTATCGGAATGCTGTCCGTAGGTTTGCCAGACGCCGTATGCTGCAGCAGTTATCTGATTGATGTGCGCCTCAGGAGATATGCTCGGTGTTATACTCACCCCCAGATCTTTTTCCTTGAGTGAGGTTTGCAGTCTTTGGCCATCTAGACTATATTGTGTCTGCGGTCTTCTTTGCCCTTCCCCAATCTTCATGACTTTGCATTTGGCAGGGTTAAACTCAAGGAGCCAGTTGCTGGACCAGGCTTGTAGCCTGTCCAGGTCTCTTTGTAGTCCTGCCTGACCCTCATCCGATTTGATTCTTCTCATTAACTTCACATCATCTGCAAACAAGGACACTTCTGAGTCTAGCCCTTTCGTTATGTCATTCACATATACCAAAAACAGCACAGGTCCTAGGACTGACCCCTGTGGAACCCCGCTTGTCACAGGCGCCCACTCTGACACCTCGTCACGTACCATGACTCGTTGTTGCCTCCCTGTCAGGTATTCTCTGATCCATTGCAGTGCCTTTCCTGTTATGTGTGCCTGATCCTCTAGCTTTTACAGTAACCTCTTGTGAGGAACTATGTCGAAGGCCTTCTTGCAGTCCAAAAAAAATGCAGTCGATCCACCCCATCCACTTCTGTCACCTTGTCATAAAACTCCAGTAGGTTTGTGACACAGGATTTTCCTTCCCTGAAACCGTGCTGGTTGTCAATTATACACTTGTTTCTTTCCAGGTGCTCCACCACTCTCCTCCTGATGATCTTCTCCATGACTTTGCATACTATACATGTTATTGATACAGGTCTGTAGTTTAGTGTCTCATGTCTGTCTCCCTTTTTAAAAACTGGGACTACATTTGCCATCTTCCATACGTCAGGGAGTTGCCCAGTTTCAACGGATGTATTGAAGATCTTTGTTAATGGCACACACAGCATCTCTGCTCCCTCTCTAAGGACCCACGGAGAGATGTTGTCTGGTCCCACAGCCTTTGAGGTGTCAAGTTCACATAGCTTCTTCACCTCCTCCTTGGTTATGTGTACCTCATCCAGCACTTGTTGGTGTACCCCCCTGTTCTGATTTCCTGGAGTCCTACTGGTTTCCACTGTAAATACTTCTTTAAATCTCGTGTTGAGCTCCTCACATACCTCTCGGTCGTTTCTTGTGAACTCCCCATCACCCTTCCTCGGTCTGATTACCTGGTCCTTGACTGTTGTTTTCCTCCTGATGTGGCTATATAACAGCTTTGGGTCAAACTTGACTTTCGATGCTATGTCATTTTCATATTGTTGCTGAGCCTCCCTTCTTATCTGTGCATATTTGTTTCTGGCTCTTCGGCTAATCTCTTTATTTTCCTGAGTTCTCTGTCTTCTGTACCTTTTCCATTAATTTACACCTAGTTTTTGCCTCCCTACACCTTTGGGTGAACCAAGGACTCGTTCTGTTCTTCCCATTATTTCTGTTTCCCTTGGGAACAAACCTCTCCTCCGCCTCCTTGCATTTTGTTGCCACATAGTCCATCATTTCTTGTACTGGTTTCCCTGTCAGTTCCCACTCCCACTGAATGTCTTGCAGGAAGTTCCTCATGCCTGAGTAGTTCCCCCTTTTCTAGTTTGGTTTTTCCCATCCTATTCCTGCTACTCTCTCTCCACTTGAAGCTCAACTATGTAGTCAAATCACAGAACCACATGATCACTAGCTCCTAGGGGCCTTTCATACATGATATCCTCGATGTCCGAACTACTCAAGGTGAATACAAGGTCCAGTCTTGCTGGATCATTCTCACCTCTCTCTCTGGTAGTGTCTCTAACATGTTGATGCATGAGGTTTTCCAGTACCACATCCATCATCTTGGCTCTCCATGTTTTGGGACCCCCGTGGGGCTCCAGGTTTTCCCAGTCAATCTCCTTGTGATTGAAATCACCCATAACCAGTAACTTTGCTTCCCCCATGTGTGCTCTTCTGGCCATCTCGACTAGTGTGTCGACCATTGCTCTGTTGCTCTCATCGTATTCTTCTCTTGGCCTCCTGTAGTTCTGTGGTGGGTTGTACATTACTGCAATTATCACCTTATGTCCCTCAGACTGGATTGTTCCTACTAAGTAGTCCTTTTTGCCAGTGCCATCCATTCCTTCCATTTTCTCAAAACCCCACTGGTTTTTAATGAGCAGTGCAACTCCTCCTCCCCCTCTCCTCCCTCTGTCTTTCCTGAGGATTTGATATCCGGGTGGAAAGATTGCATCTGTTATTATTCTGGTGAGTTTTGTTTCTGTGAGGGCTATTATGTCTGGGGATGTCTCCTTGATTCTTTCATGCCACTCCTCACACTTATTTGTTATTCCATCTGCATTTGTATACCACGCCTTCAACTTCTTTTCTAAGACTGTGGTCTGGGGGTATATTGGGGTTGGGGAAGTGGGAGACCTGATAAGGAACTATGGGTGGTTGCTGTGGGGGTGGCATTTGTAATGCAGTGAGTGGGGGCATTGGATATGGCATGGGTGTTTTGGTTTAGAATGTTTGGTTGCATTGGGGTTGACCTGGTTGGGAGGCTTCTATAGGAAGTTGTGAGGGAGGCTGAATTTGATCTTCCTGGGTCTGGGATCTCCAGTCTGTCTCCTCCATCCCCTCTCTTTCCTCCTTTTGCCTTTGTACCATCTCTCTCAGTTTCTGCCTTTCTTCTTGTGTTCTGTCGCGGTCGAGATACACCTTCCTGTATGCCGGCATGTCCCTTAATCTTGCCTTCTCCTGCAGGATCCTGTTCCAAGTCGATTCTGCCTTGAAAGTCACTTTCACTGGCTGGGTTCTTCTTCTTGCAAACCCCCCTTTTCTCCGAAAATTTTACAGCTGGGTTATGTCATCTTCTCCTATTGCTTTTGTGATGCTTTCAATTGCTTTTTTTTTCCTTGTTTTCTTGCTTCATATGTTTCCCCTTCAACTTCCTGGAGCCCATACACAAAGACTGACCTCTCCCTTTCATTCTCCCAGTGTGTATCCTTGTGTATCCACTCATTGAGTTTAATTTGTGTGTGTGTGTGTGTGTGTGTGTGTGTGTGTGTGTGTGTGTGTGTGTGTGTGTGTGTGCGTGCGTGCGTGCGTGCGTGCTTGTGTGTATGCATATATTTATACGCTCGTGTGCATGTGTCTGTGCGTGCGCCCTCGTGTGTGTATGTGTGTGCGCACGCGCTCGTGTGGGTGTATGACCCACTTAATATTTGTATTTATAACTCATTACAATTGTGACCAGGTGTGGACGTATCAGTGGCTCATTACTTTGTAATTTGTCCATGACTGTAACCATGTATAGGAGTGAGGATGATTCATTACCTTTGTAACTTGCCATGATTGTGACCAGATCTACCTGGAGTTCATTACCTTTGTAACTAGTTCAGCTATCATAACTTTGGGGTCCAGTCCCTGGACCCATTATGTACCTTTGTAATCTTTTGACTACCACCCACAGGATGGGTATGGGGTGCACAATAAACATATTAAACTAACTAAACAACATCCAAACTTTTCCTAATATGTTCATTTTTCCCCTATAATCTACCTTGTCTGTAATTACTATCGTATTTACTTTGTCTGTTTTCGTAAAGTGAAGTCTATGGTCTTTCTTTAATTCATGGTATAACTTAACAAATCTTTGAGGACAATTGTGTTACAGAGGTCTGAGCTTCGTTCAGACATGTTTCTTTCGTTCTGCTTGGTGATCTTGCATTTTGTATAGTATTTCTTGAGTTCTTCATTCTTACCATATCTAAGCAGTTGGAACCTGTCACCACTGAAGGTCATGGTCCACACTTCATATTGGTCAATACTATGTGTTGCTCCACAGTACATGTTGCTTCACACTAAATGTAGGTATCCTGTAGTAACCATTGTGGTCCCTCCTTCTCACACGTCAGGTCTAGCCTGGGATCCAGCAGTGATCATTGTGGTCCCTCTCACACATCAGGTCTAGCCTAGGATCCAGCAGTGACCATTGTGGTCCCTCTCACACATCAGATCTAGCCTGCGATCCAGTAGTGACCATGATGGTTCCTCTCACACGTCAGGTCTAGCCTGGGATCCAGCAGTGACCATTGTGGTCCCTCTCACACGTCAGGTCTAACCTGGGATCCAGCAGTGACCATTGTGGTTCCACACACACGTCAGGTCTAGCCTGGGATCCAGTAGTGACCACTGTGGTCCCTCTCACACGTCAGGTCTAGCCTGGGATCCAGCAGTGACCATTGTGGTCCCTATCACACGTCAGATCTAGCCTGGGATCCAGCAGTGACCATTGTGGTCCCTCTCACACGTCAGGTCTAGCCTGGGATCCAGCAGTGACCATTGTGGTCCCTCTCACACGCCAGGTCTAGCCTAGGATCCAGCAGTGACCAATGTGGTCCCTCACACGTCAGGTCGTTGCGTGCGTGCGTGCGTGCGTGCGTGTGTGCGTGTGTGCGTGTGTGTGTGTGTGTGTGTGTGTGTGTGTGTGTGTGTGTGTGTGTGTGTGTGTGTGTGTGTGTGTGTGTGTGTGTGTGGTGTGTGTGTCTCAACAATCAATATTTGCACCAATAACTCATTACAGTTGTGACCGGGTGTGGAAGTGTGAATTGCTCATTACACTATAATTTGTTCATGATTGTAGCCATGTATAAACGTAAGTAACCATTCTACAGAATTCATTACCTTTGTAACTTGTGAGCTCATTACCTTTGTACCTAGTTCAGCTATCAAAACTTTGGGGGCCCAGTCCCTGGACCCATTACGTACCTCTGTAATCTGTAAATACCTTTGTAACTTGTCATGATTGTGACCAGACCTACCTGGCGTTCATTACCTTTGTAAATTGTGAGTTCATTACCTTTGTAAATTGTGAGTTCATTACCTTTGTAAATTGTGAGTTCATTACCTTTGTAAATTGTGAGTTCATTACCTCTGTAACTTGCTCAGCTATCAAAACTTTGGAGTCCAGTCCCTGGACCAATTATGTATCTCTGTAATCTTTTGACTACCACCCATAGGATGGGTATGGGGTGCATAATAAACATAGTAAACTAACTAACTAACAGGTCTAGCCTGGGATCCAGTAGTGGCCACTGTGGTCCCTCTCACACGTCAGGTTTAGCCTGGGATCCAGTAGTGACCATTGTGGTCACGTCTTGTGCTAAGCTTCCTCAGAGATTACTGTCACTACACAAGGTGGTGTAGGAGTGAGGACACACGTTAGCGGCGTCTTTACTGTATTGTCACGCCTTCAGTTTAATCTTAAGCACAAAGAAACAGCGTTAGACTCAGCTCATGTGACCTACACATGCGAGCATTGCATGTGACCTCTCTTCAGGGTATATAAGAGGAGGTTCTGACTCACCTGTGCTCACACCTTCCCACTCGCTGAGAACTAAGGCTGGTCCTTCTTAAGGTAAATATTCGTATTACATATATTAACATAAACGTTAGATATTATGAAATGAGAAACCTGAATATTTTCCAATATTTTTCAAGCATTTTTAGTAAATTCTAAATTTTTCCATTAAAACTGAGCATATATATGGTTAAAAATTAATATTATTTTAGAGTAAAAAGTGACTAAGAAAAAACTAAAATATTTCAGTTTCAACTTGAGACCCTCTTCAGGTGGGTGATTTCTTGATAACTAAATGTTAAAATTTTTAATATTTTCGGAACAATGTTTATCATAATCTAAACCCAAAATAATAATTTAGGAACTACTGATGCGTATAGTCATATTGTAGACTTGTGAGTTATGGCTGTCACTGAAAGATGTGTTCACTGTTTATGTAGCTGGTTATGACGATGATGCTGAAGGAAATATTTGTGTGTGTATCAGTGGTGATGTCAGCTGCTGCTGCCATGCCTCCACCAGGAGGTGAGTCTAATATTCTTCGGTCGTCTCATAATTGTCCATTTTACTCAATAATCAAATTAATTTAGATCTTATTTCACTGGTTCTTGTAACCGAGTCAAAGTCAAGTGATTTTGTATCTTCCGTACTGCCTACACATCTTAAGTAATATTAAATATTTTGGAACATTATGTCTTGTTTCTTGATGACACTGACTTTCCACCTTCCCTTCCTGGAGTAGCAGCTTCAGGAGTGCCACCAGCACCAGCAGCAAAGTCAACAGCAGCAGCAAAGTCACCAGCAGCAGTGCCGCCAGCGTCACCCTACACACCGCCCCTCTCAATGATTAGTGCCTTCATCCCCACCGCTAAGGAGATCGCAGACCTTCAGGCTCTCAACACCACACCTGCCCCAGGATTGCTGCCCGCTGCACCTGCTCTAGGAGGTCTCCCCGCTGCACCTGCCTTAGGAGGTCTTCCTGCTGCACCTGCTTTAGGAGGTCTTCCCGGTGCACCTGCTCTAGGAAGTCTCCCCGCTGCAGCTGCTCCCTCCTCACTTTTGATTCCCAGTCAGTATATCTTGCCTGCCTATACTTTTTAGCCTCCGTTATGTACTGAGAGAGTATTTGTATTTATACTAGAATACATAATGTTCCTGATATGGTATTGCATTTCGCTCCTTCTCCCACATTCACTTCTCAAGTCATTGATTGTGCATCCCATACCCATCCTGTGGGTGGTTGTCTAAGGACTACAGAGGCACATAATGGATGTAAGGACAGGACCCCAACAATTTTAATCCCTAAGCAATTAACAATGGTAATGAACTATTGAATTCAGGACAATAGGAAGGAGTTTAGCCATAAATTGTCACAAAACGTTATAATGTGGTTCACAATTGCTGTGTTTTCAGCAGTCAGTCTGACTCTCAACTCGATACTAATTAGGATAATCTTCCCTACAGCCATGCCTCCTGCAGTTGCAAAGTTGGTTGCAAAATACCAAGCTGCAGCTGCAGCTTTCTCCCCGACCTTACCTGCGCCAGTTTAGGCTCACTGAAGGTCAAGTAACATCTTTTGGAGGCACCTCGACGTATCTTAAGTCACTTGAGATCATTTGGATCCAGCTGGGGTCGTCTGAAGCCAACTGATGTATGAAGTTCTCTGAGGCCACCTGTGCCACCATCTGAGGTTTTGCCGTGGGTCGAGCGCTAGCTGTTGGACCGCTCTGTACTTTAAATAATTGGTGTGCCTTAATACTCCCTCTCCTTTTGGGCTGTCATATCTGTTTTTTATATAAGTTTGGCTTGAAACTAAACGAGACATTTTTTATCTGAATTTTGACTCTTGGCTCATAAATAACATATAAATAAAGACTCTATTATATATTTTTAATATCCTTGTGTACTGACTGTAACAATATATTGATGTGTACAAGACTTTGAAGACATAACATAATGTCATCAAGGATATGAAAAAGGTCATCATGGATTACCTTGAGTATACCTGGAGAGGGTTTCGGGGGTCAGTGCCCCCGCCGCCCGGTCTGAGACCAGGCCTGGTGGTGGATCAGGTCCTGATCAACCAGGCTGTTACTGTTGGCCGCACGTAAACCGACGTACGAACCACAGCCCGGCTGATCAGGTACTGACTTTAGGTGCCTGTCTTAATATGTTCTAGTGACGAAGATGGTAACTACTCTTCTGGTTTCAATCCATTCTGTTTGGAAGGTAGATAGGTCTAACTGATAAGCTAAATTGGTATAAAGGACAATATATATACAGTATTACACTAACATACGGTGCATTTCAGGCAGACTAATCCTGATACAACAGCAATGAGAAACATCGACTGGCAAACTGAGCTAGAAATCTATACAGTTACCGACGAATGTATTAATATTTTTCTAAAAAGTACCCATACCTCTATAACAAACACTGCTCTAAAAAAACTAAACAGATGACAGCTAAGAGACTGAACAGTCCCTGGCTAACACCCAGTATCCTCAAATCCATAAATACAAAGCACCTATACGAAAAACAGTACAGAATGGGTCACATAACCAGAGACCAAACAAAAGTTACTCGTCAATCCTAACCAGCCTGATAAGAAGGGCTAAAAAACTGTATTATGAGAACAGATTATCCAACTTACGAGGTGATATAAAGACCTGGAAAACCCTATCTGAAATTCTAGGAACAAAAAAGATATCAGGAAACAGAATAATCACACTAACAAAACCAGATGGACCCCAACTCCCACCAACTGAAACAGCAAACAGACTCAATGTTTTCTTCTCCACCATAGGAAAAAACCTGGTGGATAAAATCCCAAGCTCAAACACCCAACTTAATGACTACCTCACTGGCACCTACCAGAACACACTGTTTCTAGCTCTGACCAGCCCAAGAGAAGTCTTACTTATTATCAACACAGTAAAGAACAAGACGAAATTTAAATACCTTACCAACCTTTATATACAAAAAAGCTTCACAAGTACTGTCACCAATCATTGTAACACTCTTTAACAAATCCATCTAATCCTCTACCTTCCCCACAGTTCTTAAAATAGCGAGGGTCACCCCGATACATAAAGGAGGAGATCAAACAGACTTGAATAACTATAGGCCAATATCCAACTTACACCTTCTCTCTAAAATCTTTGATAAATTAATTCAGATTAACTCGGTGGCACTCGATGTATGCACAAGGCTTATTCCTCTAAGAAAAAGGAGTAGATGTAAAATAGAAAGAGACAGGCGCTCCCTTTACAGGCGACGGAAAAGAATAACAGAGCGGCTAAAAGAGGTCAATATATCTGAAATGCGCAGGGAGACACTGGTCAGAGAAATAGCAAGCATCGAACTTAAGCTAAAAGAATCCTTTAGGAGTCAGGAATCGCGGGAAGAACTAAAAGCCATAAATGAAATCGAAAGAAACCCAAAGTATTTCTTCTCCTATGCCAAATCAAAATCGAGAACAACGTCCAGTATTGGGCCCCTACTTAAACAAGATGGGTCCTACACAGATGACAACAAGGAAATGAGTGAGCTACTCAAGTCCCAATATGACTCAGTTTTTAGCAAGCCGCTAACCAGACTGAGAGTCGAAGATCAAAATGAATTTTTTATGAGAGAGCCACAAAATTTGATTAACACAAGCCTATCCGATGTTATCCTGACCCCAAATACTTCGAACAGGCGATAAATGACATGCCCATGCACTCTGCCCCAGGGCCAGACTCATGGAACTCTGTGTTCATCAAGAAACTGCAAGAAGCCCCTATCACGAGCCTTTTCCATCCTATGGAGAGGGAGCAGGACACGGGGGGCGTCCCTCAGTTACTAAAAACAACAGACATAGCCCCACTCCACAAAGGGGGCAGTAAAGCAACAGCAAAGAACTACAGACCAATAGCACTAACATCCCATATCATAAAAATCTTTGAAAGGGTCCTAAGAAGCAAGATCACCACCCATCTAGAAACCCATCAGTTACACAACCCAGGGCAACATGGGTTTAGAACAGGTCGCTCCTGTCTGTCTCAACTACTGGATCACTACGACAAGGTCCTAAATGCACTAGAAGACAAAAAGAATGCAGATGTAATATATACAGACTTTGCAAAAGCCTTCGACAAGTGTGACCATGGCGTAATAGCGCACAAAATGCGCGCTAAAGGAATAACAGGAAAAGTCGGTCGATGGATCTATAATTTCCTCACTAACAGAACACAGAGAGTAGTCGTCAACAGAGTAAAGTCCGAGGCAGCTACGGTGAAAAGCTCTGTTCCACAAGGCACAGTACTAGCTCCCATCTTGTTCCTCATCCTCATATCCGACTAGACAAGGATGTCAGCCACAGCACCGTGTCTTCCTTTGCAGATGACACCCGAATCTGCATGACAGTGTCTTCCATTGCAGCACTGCAAGGCTCCAGGCGGACATCAACCAAATCTTTCAGTGGGCTGCAGAAAACAATATGAAGTTCAACGATGAGAAATTTCAATTACTCAGATATGGTAAACATGAGAAAATTAAATCTTCATCAGAGTACAAAACAAATTCTGGCCACAAAATAGAGCGAAACACCAACGTCAAAGACCTGGGAGTGATTATGTCGGAGGATCTCACCTTCAAGGACCATAACATTGTATCAATCGCATCTGCTAGAAAAATGGCAGGATGGATAATGAGAAACCTTCAAAACTAGGGAGGCCAAGCCCATGATGACACTCTTCAGGTCACTTGTTTCTATCTAGGCTGGAATATTGCTGCACTCTAACAGCACCTTTCAAGGCAGGTGAAATTGCCGACCTAGAAAATGTACAGAGAACTTTCACGGCGCGCATAACGGAGATAAAACACCTCAATTACTGGGAGCGCTTGAGGTTTCTAAACCTGTATTCCCTGGAACGCAGGAGGGAGAGATACATGATTATATACACCTGGAAAATCCTAGAGGGACTAGTACCGAACTTGCACACGAAAATCACTCACTACGAAAGCAAAAGACTTGGCAGACGATGCACCATCCCCCCAATGAAAAGCAGGGGTGTCACTAGCACGTTAAGAGACCATACAATAAGTGTCAGGGGCCCGAGACTGTTCAACTGCCTCCCAGCACACATAAGGGGGATTACCAACAGACCCCTGGCAGTCTTCAAGCTGGCACTGGACAAGCACCTAAAGTCAGTTCCTGATCAGCCGGGCTGTGGCTCGTACGTTGGTTTGCGTGCAGCCAGCAGCAACAGCCTGGTTGATCAGGCGCTGATCCACCAGGAGGCCTGGTCACAGACCGGGCCGCGGGGGCGTTGACCCCCGAAACTCTCTCCAGGTAAACTCCAGGTAATAAGTGAAACTATTCCTACCTCATCTCCCACATACTCAACCTGTCAGTTTGGGTTCAGGCCTAATATAAATACGAATGATGCTATTATACACATGCTAGAACAAATATACACTGCACTCGAGAAAAAGAAGTCCCATTGGGGATCTTCATTGATTTACGTAAAGCTTTTGATACAGTTGACCATGATTTGTTGCACATAAAATTGTCACACTAGTATAAGAGGGCACTCCCTCAACTACCTAAAGTCTTACCTCAGCAACAGAACCCAATATGTGTACATAAATGGAGCAAACTCTTCCGCACAGCCAATTACAGTTGGTGTCCCACAGGGAAGTGTCCTTGGCCCTCTTCTCTTTCTCATTTACATAAATGACCTACCAAAAGCATCTTAACTACTCAAACCCACACTATTTGCAGATGACACTACATACGTCTTCTCTCACCCAAGCCCAGTCATACTAGTATATTGATCATTTTGTTATATTATACATTATTATGCTACAAATTTGTACAACTATAATGCTTCTTAATTCAAATGTTCAAATTTCATTGTTTAAAATACTCATTTGTACTTCATGTTGTAATTTGTTTACTGTAATTTTTACCGCTGAATATATCATTGCTTACTTAATTTTAAGTTAATTTTAAACCTGCCCATAATGCTCTGCTTACAAGGGGCTTTTGACATGTACACCCGACTACTATAATTCCTTGTACAACTATGTATCATGTCCAAATAAAAATTATTATTATTATTATTATTATTATTATTATTATTATTATTATTATTATACCAGGGACAGGACAGCATACAGGACGGGTAGGGATGCAAAATATATCCATTAAACTAAAATTCTGCAACTTACCCATTATGTGGCCCGTGGCCTGGTAGGCAACGCTCTCGCTTCACACACTGAGGGCCGGGGCTCGATAATGTTAAGACGTGTTTCCTTAAGACACCTGCTGTCCATGTTCAACTAGCAGTAAAATAGGTACCTGGGTATTAGTCAACTGGTTTGGGTCGCATCCTGGGACAAAATTGACCTAATTTGCTGGAAATGCTCAGAATAACAAGTGACTTTCTATAAAATAGTATATCATTGATGTCAGCTATGGTCTGTATACCTTGTACATGTAGAAATGAACATCATTATTATTATTATCATCTTCATTATGCATCCCATACCCATCCTGTGGGGAGAGTGAATGGGCACTGGACTTTGGAGTAGCTACTTTTAGTATATTAGTCAGGAACATTGTCCTCATACTGTTTTTTTTCCAAACAGTGACCCCCTTCCTAGCTCCTGAAGGAGTTTCTTACCGAAAGATAATGGTAGCAAGTCTGGTACAGTTTACAACTACATTGTGGGCCAGGACTATGATCAGGCGCTGATCCACCAGGAGGCCTGGTCACAGACCGGGCCGCGGGGGCGTTGACCCCCGAAACTCTCTCCAGGTAAACTCCAGGACATTGTGCCTTCTTTAGTGCAAATGGGTCTTCTTTAGTTAAGGTGCCGTTTATAGCCCTGTGCCAGGAGCAATACTACAAGTACATGTACAAGGTATACAGACCATAGTTGATATTTATGACATACTACTATATAGAAAGTCACTTATGCTGAGCATTTCCCGCAAATTAGGTCAATTTTGTCCCAGGATGTGACTCACACCAGTCCACTAACACCCAGGATGTGACCCACACCAGTCCACTAACACCCAGGATGTGACCCACACCAGTCCACTAACACCCAGGATGTGACCCACACCAGTCCACTAACACCCAGGATGTGACCCACACCAGTCCACTAACACCCAGCATGCGACCCACACCTGTCCACTAACACCCAGGATGTGACCCACACCAGTCCATTAATACCCAGGATGCGACCCACACCAGTCCACTAACACCCAGGATGCGACCCACACCAGTCCACTAACACCCAGGATGCCACCAACACCAGTCCACTAACACCCAGGATGTGACCCGCACCAGTCCACTGACACCCACTGACACATGGTTTCAGAGACGGGAAATCCTGTGTCACAAACCTACTGGAGTTCTATGACATGGTGACAGCAGTAAGACAAGAGAGAGAGAGGGGTGGGTGGATTGCATTTTCTTGGACTGCAAGAAGGCGTTTGACACAGTACCACACAAGAGATTAGTGCAAAAACTGGAGGACCAAGCAGGGATAACAGGGAAGGCACTGCAATGGATCAGGGAATACTTGTCAGGAAGACAGCAGCGAGTAATGGTACGTGGCGAGGTGTCAGAGTGGGCACCTGTGACCAGCGGGGTCCCACAGGGGTCAGTCCTAGGACCAGTGCTGTTTCTGGTATTTGTGAACGACATGACGGAAGGAATAAACTCCGAGGTGTCCCTGCTTGCAGATGACGTGAAGTTGTTGAGAAGAATTCATTCGATCGAAGACCAGGCAGAAATACAAAGGGATCTGGACAGGCTGCAGACCTGGTTCAGCAACTGGCTCCTGGAGTTCAATCCCACCAAGTGCAAAGTCATGAGGTTTGGGGAAGGGCAAAGAAGACCGCAGACAGAGTAGTCTAGGGGGCCAGAGACTACAAACATCACTCAAGGAAAAAGATCTTGGGGTGAGTATAACACCAGGCACATCTCCTGAAGCGCACATCAACCAAATAACTGCTGCAGCATATGGGCGCCTAGCAAACCTCAGAACAGCATTCCGACATCTTAATAAGGAATCGTTCAGGACCCTGTACACCGTGTACGTTAGGCCCATATTGGAGTATGCGGCACCAGTTTGGAACCCACACCTAGCCAAGCATGTAAAGAAACTAGAGAAAGTGCAAAGGTTTGCAACTAGTCCCAGAGTTAAGAGGTATGTCCTATGAGGAGAGGTTAAGGGAAATCAACCTGACGACACTGGAGGACAGGAGAGATAGGGGGGACATGATAACGACTTACAAAATACTGAGAGGAATTGACAAGGTGGACAAAGACAGGATGTTCCAGAGACTGGACACAGCAACACGGGGACACAGTTGGAAGCTGAAGACACAGATGAATCAAAGGGATGTTAGGAAGTATTTCTTCAGCCACACAGTAGTCAGGAAGTGGAATAGTTTGGAAAGCGAAAATGTACAGAGAACTTTCACGGCGCGCATAACGGAGATAAAACACCTCAATTACTGGGAGCGCTTGAGGTTTCTAAACCTGTATTCCCTGGAACGCAGGAGGGAGAGATACATGATTATATACACCTGGAAAATCCTAGAGGGACTAGTACCGAACTTGCACACGAAAATCACTCACTACGAAAGCAAAAGACTTGGCAGACGATGCACCATCCCCCCAATGAAAAGCAGGGGTGTCACTAGCACGTTAAGAGACCATACAATAAGTGTCAGGGGCCCGAGACTGTTCAACTGCCTCCCAGCACACATAAGGGGGATTACCAACAGACCCCTGGCAGTCTTCAAGCTGGCAATGGACAAGCACCTAAAGTCAGTTCCTGATCAGCCGGGCTGTGGCTCGTACGTTGGTTTGCGTGCAGCCAGCAGCAACAGCCTGGTTGATCAGGCGCTGATCCACCAGGAGGCCTGGTCACAGACCGGGCCGCGGGGGCATTGACCCCCGAAACTCTCTCCAGGTAAACTCCAGTGGAGGCAGGATCCATACATTCAATTCAATTCAAAGTTTATTCTCTATAAGGATTACAATGCTGAGTTTACAGAATTTGGTTATTGTGTGGTTTACATGTAGTAAAATAATGATTACAGAGTGTACCACTAGAACACCTAGCATGGCTAGGCATTTCGGGTAGACTTAGTTTAATTCTTAATTTTAAAATATTACAAATTATGAGGCAAGTTGGTATTATGGCTAAGTGACTAAATACTAGTTTGTGAGTTTATCAATGTGAATGCTTTTGTTTTGGCACAGTACATAGTTTCAGTATTGGAGTATCACAGGATTCATTATTTTAAGATTGAGATTAATATTTCTGTTTATGGTCAAATGAGTGAGTGAGTGTAAGTGTGAACCACCAGGTGGTATTCGTGTAGTTAGGGAGATAAGATGTTTTCTAATGGTAGTTGACCCACACCAGTCCACTAACACCCAGGATGTGACCCACACCAGTCCACTAACACCCAGGATGTGACCCACACCAGTCCACTAACACCCAGGATGTGACCCACACCAGTCCACTAACACCCAGGATGTGACCCACACTAGTCCACTAATACCCAGGATGTGACCCACACCAGTCCACTGACACCCAGGATGTGACCCACACCAGTCCACTAACACCCAGGATGTGACCCACACCAGTCCACTGACACCCAGGATGCCACCCACACCAGTCCACTAACACCCAGGATATGACCTACACCAGTCCACTAACACCCAGGATGTGACCTACACCAGTCCACTAACACCCAGGATGTGACCCACACCAGTCCACTAACACCCAGGATGTGACCCACACCAGTCCACTAACACCCAGGATGCCACCCACACCAGTCCACTAACACCCAGGATGTGACCCACACCAGTCCACTAACACCCAGGATGTGACCCACGCCAGTCCACTAACACCCAGGATGTGACCCACACCAGTCCACTAACACCCAGGATGTGACCCACACCAGTCCACTAACACCCAGGATGTGACCCACACCAGTCCACTAACACCAGGATGTGACCCACACCAGTCCACTAACACCCAGGATGTGACCCACACCAGTCCACTAACACCCAGGATGTGACCCACACCAGTCCACTAACACCCAGGATGTGACCCACACCAGTCCACTAACACCCAGGATGTGACCCACACAAGTCCACTAACACCCAGGATGCCACCCACACCAGTCCACTAACACCCAGGATGTGACCACACCAGTCCACTAACACCCAGGATGTGACCCCACACCAGTCCACTAACACCCAGGATGTGACCCACACCAGTCCACTAACACCCAGGATGCCACCCACACCAGTCCACTAACACCAGGATGTGACCCACACCAGTCCACTAACACCCAGGATGCCACCCACACCAGTCCACTAACACCCAGGATGTGACCCCACACCAGTCCACTAACACCCAGGATGTGACCCACACCAGTCCACTAACACCCAGGATGTGACCCACACCAGTCCACTAACACCCAGGATGTGACCCACACCAGTCCACTAACACCCAGGATGTGACCCCACATCAGTCCACTAAACCCAGGATGCCACCCACACCAGTCCACTAACACCCAGGATGTGACCCCACACCAGTCCACTAACACCCAGGATGTGACCCACACCAGTCCACTAACACCCAGGATGCCACCCACACCAGTCCACTAACACCCAGGATGCCACCCACACCAGTCCACTAACACCCAGGATGTGACCCACACCAGTCCACTAACACCCAGGATGTGACCCACACCAGTCCACTAACACCCAGGATGCCACCCACACCAGTCCACTAACACCAGGATGCCACCCACACCAGCCCACTAAAACCCAGGATGTGACCCCACACCAGCCCACTAACACCCAGGATGTGACCCACACCAGTGCACTGACATCCAGGATGCCACCCACACCAGTCCACTAACACCCAGGATGTGACCCATACCAGTCCACTAACACCCAGGATGTGACCCACACCAGTCCACTAACACCCATGATGCCACCCACACCAGTCCACTAACACCCAGGATGTGACCCACACCAGTCCACTAACACCCAGGATGTGACCCACACCAGTCCACTAACACCCAGGATGTGACCCACACTAGTCCACTAACACCCAGGATGTGACCCACACAAGTCCACTAACACCCAGGATGCCACCCACACCAGTCCACTAACACCCAGGATGTGACCCACACCAGTCCACTAACACCCAGGATGTGACCCCACACCAGTCCACTAACACCCAGGATGTGACCCACACCAGTCCACTAACACCCAGGATGCCACCCACACCAGTCCACTAACACCCAGGATGTGACCCCACACCAGTCCACTAACACCCAGGATGCCACCCACACCAGTCCACTAACACCCAGGATGTGACCCACACCAGTCCACTAACACCCAGGATGTGACCCACACCAGTCCACTGACACCCAGGATGTGACCCCACATCAGTCCACTAAACCCAGGATGCCACCCACACCAGTCCACTAACACCCAGGATGTGACCCCACACCAGTCCACTAACACCCAGGATGTAACCCACACCAGTCCACTAACACCCAGGATGCCACCCACACCAGTCCACTAACACCCAGGATGCCACCCACACCAGTCCACTAACACCCAGGATGTGACCCACACCAGTCCACTAACACCCAGGATGTGACCCTACACCAGTCCACTAACACCCAGGATGCCACCCACACCAGTCCACTAACACCCAGGATGCCACCCACACCAGCCCACTAAAACCCAGGATGTGACCCCACACCAGCCCACTAACACCCAGGATGTGACCCACACCAGTGCACTGACATCCAGGATGCCACCCACACCAGTCCACTAACACCCAGGATGTGACCCATACCAGTCCACTAACACCCAGGATGTGACCCACACCAGTCCACTAACACCCATGATGCCACCCACACCAGTCCACTAACACCCAGGATGTGACCCACACCAGTCCACTAACACCCAGGATGTGACCCACACCAGTCCACTAAACACCCAGGATGTGACCCACACCAGTCCACTAACACCCAGGATGTGACCCACACCAGTCCACTAACACCCAGGATGTGACCCACACCAGTCCACTAACACCCAGGATGTGACCCACACCAGTCCACTAACACCCAGGATGTGACCCACACCAGTCCACTAACACCCAGGATGTGACCCACACCAGTCCACTAACACCCAGGATGTGACCCACACCAGTCCACTAACACCCAGGATGTGACCCACACCAGTCCACTAACACCCAGGATGTGACCCACACAAGTCCCCTAACACCCAGGATGCCACCCACACCAGTCCACTAACACCCAGGATGTGACCCACACCAGTCCACTAACACCCAGGATGTGACCCCACACCAGTCCACTAACACCCAGGATGTGACCCACACCAGTCCACTAACACCCAGGATGCCACCCACACCAGTCCACTAACACCCAGGATGTGACCCCACACCAGTCCACTAACACCCAGGATGCCACCCACACCAGTCCACTAACACCCAGGATGTGACCCCACACCAGTCCACTAACACCCAGGATGTGACCCACACCAGTCCACTAACACCCAGGATGTGACCCACACCAGTTCACTAACACCCAGGATGTGACCCACACTGTGACCTGGCACTGGACAAGCACCTAAAGTCAGTTCCTGATCAGCCGGGCTGTGGCTCGTACGTTGGTTTGCGTGCAGCCAGCAGCAACAGCCTGGTTGATCAGGCGCTGATCCACCAGGAGGCCTGGTCACAGACTGGGCCGCGGGGGCATTGACCCCCGAAACTCTCTCCAGGTAAACTCCAGTCCACTAACACCCAGGATGTGACCCCACACCAGTCCACTAACACCCAGGATGTGACCCACACCAGTCCACTAACACCCAGGATGTGACCCTACACCAGTCCACTAACACCCAGGATGCCACCCACACCAGTCCACTAACACCCAGGATGCCACCCACACCAGCCCACTAAAACCCAGGATGTGACCCCACACCAGCCCACTAACACCCAGGATGTGACCCACACCAGTGCACTGACACCCAGGATGCCACCCACACCAGTCCACTAACACCCAGGATGTGACCCATACCAGTCCACTAACACCCAGGATGTGACCCACACCAGTCCACTAACACCCAGGATGCCACCAACACCAGTCCACTAACACCCAGGATGTGACCCACACCAGTCCACTAACACCCAGGATGTGACCCACACCAGTCCACTAACACCCAGGATGTGACCCACACCAGTCCACTAACACCCAGGATGCCACCCACACCAGCCCACTAAAACCCAGGATGTGACCCCACACCAGCCCACTAACACCCAGGATGTGACCCACACCAGTGCACTGACACCCAGGATGCCACCCACAGCAGTCCACTAACACCCAGGATGTGACCCATACCAGTCCACTAACACCCAGGATGTGACCCACACCAGTCCACTAACACCCAGGATGCCACCAACACCAGTCCACTAACACCCAGGATGTGACCCACACCAGTCCACTAACACCCAGGATGTGACCCACACCAGTCCACTAACACCCAGGATGTGACCCACACCAGTCCACTAACACCCAGGATGTGACCCACACCAGTCCACTAACACCAGGATGTGACCCACACCAGTCCACTAACACCAGGATGTGACCCACACCAGTCCACTAACACCCAGGATGCGACCCACACCAGTCCACTAACACCCAGGATGTGACCCACACCAGTCCACTAACACCCAGGATGTGACCCACACCAGTCCACTAACACTAGGATGTGACCCACACCAGTCCACTAACACCCAGGATGTGACCCACACCAGTCCACTAACACCCAGGATGTGACCCACACCAGTCCACTAACACCCAGGATGTGACCCACACCAGTCCACTAACACCCAGGATGTGACCCACACCAGTCCACTAACACCCAGGATGTGACCCACACCAGTCCACTAACACCCAGGATGCCACCCACACCAGTCCACTAACACCCAGGTACCCATTTTACACTGATGGTGAATAGGGACAGGGACAGCAGGTGTCTTATGGAAACACTTCCCCAATGTTTTCCAGCCGTATCGGAGGAGAATCGAACCCTGGACCTCAGTGTGTGAGCTGAGTGCGCTAACCATCCAGCTATAAAACTTGCGGATTTTTAACCCCGGAGGGTTAGCCGCCCAGGATAATACAAGAAAGACATGGCATCGTCGAGGGCTGTCTGTCCTATTTCCATTGTGGGCCTTCAGTCTTATCCCCCAGGATGCCACCCACACCAGTCTATTATAAACCCTTATAAATATGAAGTTATTTAGAATAATTCACTACAATGTGAGAGGTAAATAAGTTCAGACTTTTCAGAACCTCATTCTTATGCTGATTTTACACTGATTTTACACTCACATTACACAGATTTTTCACTAATCTTACACTAAAATTTTAGTCATTTATTTTTAGGCTAATAAACTTATAAATATGAAGTTATTGAGAATAATTCACCAGAATGTGACAGGTATATAATAAGTTGAACCACTGGAGCATCTCAGTCACACTCGTCCTACTCTCATCTCTCACAAAGTTTATTTACGTAAATAATTAAGTAAGGAAGTAAAGTTTATTTAAGTACAGGTCCACATAAGTACAATTATCATACATAGTAACATGGGTGTACATTACCCACCAGAATAATCGTATCGTAACCAAAAAATATTTTCATTGGTGTTCTTGTTATTTCTATTAAGTGTATTTAGGCACAAGTAAACGTAAGTACAATTACACAAGTTATTATTATACATAGTAATGTGTGTAAATTACGCACCAGGATAACCAAAAAAAGTCACAGTATTATTATTATTATTATTATTATTATTATTATTATTATTATTATTATTATTATTATTATCCCCTCAAGGAAGGTTCCTTGATGCTGGTGAGGGGCTCTTGATCTAGGGAATTGGATCTGTGCTCTGGTTCCCTCAATTGAACCTGAATACCTTCCACATCCCACAGGCGCTGTACAATCCTACGAGTTTAGCACTTTCCCCTTGATTCTAATAGTACAATATTATATTATTATTTCTATTGGGGTACTTGAAGTAAGTTTATTTAGGCACAAGTACACATAAGTACAATTATCATACATAGTGTAAATTATCTTGGATAACCCAAAAAAAGTGTAATAAATAGCAAATTTATTTGTTTTCCGCAGTATACAAGTACTGTGGTGTATATATAATAAAATATTGTTAGCCATAAAAGGCATTAACATGAGGTGCATTACAGGCAAACTAATCCTAATGCTTAAATAGAAATTAACAGTATATTTCTCAGGTCTTTCTTTATTCAACAGAAAGAATTAGTAACTGGCAGTGGAACAGAAAGTGACTGATCAGTGGTGAAGAAGGAAAGGTGATCTGCAGTGGAAGAGAACACTTGAGTAGTGTCACCACCTGACACTTACAATAAAACCATGACAGCTCGAGTCGGAGCCACACTGTGTGTATCTTCTCGCTGCCATTTGTATCTACGAAGATGGGCAGCACCTTCACGGTCACTACACCTTAGGTACTGTTTTTTCATATCTTGTTAAGTACAAGTACATGCTAATACAGTTAGACAAATTATTGTATATAGTGACATGTATGTAAATTACCTAAGAAAAGGTCAGACAAAGTGACTTATTTCCATTAGGGTTTTTTAATATCTTATTATTTAAACCTTAAAAGTTAAAGGGTCTAATTACTAATTGATACCCTTCCCTTCTTTAGATCAAATTTGATTACCTTCCACTCCCCCAAGTGACCCCTGTGGTTTTAGGGCTTCCCATAATTATTATAATTGTCTTGTGTCAGTAGCATAGATATTTTTTCTTTTAAAAAATTATAATTAATGGTAAATGTATTTAATTTGTTGGGAGATGACTGATGTGGTAAATAAAATGTATAACATACAGTACTATATTTTCATATAATATTTTTATATAATGTTATTTCTAAAATTGAGTTTGAGAGAAATTAAAATTGTTAATTATATTATATGGCCTTTACTGGTAGTTCAGATATTGTATATCCAGTGAATTCAGAAAAGTTACATTAAGCTTCTTAGACATTCTGGAAGTAGTACTATCATCTTACTAATTGTGTACTATTATTCAGTGAATGATGAGCTAAGAAAGAAATACCTACTGGTACAATATTTTCATATTTGCAGTTACCTATTTGTAGTTACACGAGCAGAGTTACACTTGTGGTGTTCCATTGTCAGTCTTTAATCTGTCAATATTTCCTAATACATCCAGTGGTTGTAGCACTTACTGCACCTAGCCACAGATACTGAGTTTAGCTGCACATTTAGTGTGAATGGAACTAAAATTGCAATAAGTGATCACAGGTTTGGTATAGCAGCAGCCACAGGAAATAACTACTAATGGGAGATGGAGTACAGCATACCTTTTTTCTTCATAAAACTTATATGGGTAAATGAGACCATATAGTTTAAAACCCAAATCCATTGACTGTATGCTTGTTTAATGTTATTTATGTTGTTGCAGATTTTCTTCTGAACTTGCAAAAAGTTGTGGGTCCAGAGTCACTAATTGCCAACATCCAAAATGGGTTAAAATGAAGATGGATCATCAGTTACAGTTAGGAAAAGTGAAATTGTATTGCACATCAAACCAGCAGCATACAAGAGGTGAAAAAATTGATGGGGATTTTAAAAATACAGAGGATGATCATAAGCCAGTGTCAGATTCTGTAATTTTAACTGAAGAATATAAAATAAGCCATGACATTGTTGATAATACAAGGACCAAGAGGGTAAATTTTGAATTAAATAATGCTAGTATCAGAGCTGATAGTGTTGCAGAGGCAGAAACTAACATCATCACCAATGATGGGGTAAAAGTAAGTGGTGGAACACCCTCAGTTGTAACAGAGGAAGATGAAGAGGTGGATATGGAGGAGTTGATTAAACTAGAGGTGGAGTTGTTACGTCAGGAAGGTTTTTCTGTGCCCTCCACCTTTACTCCCAATAAGTGGCAGGAATTACTCACCAAAGGTTCTTTCCATGGACGTAAAAAGTTCCTCAGGTATCTCTTCATAACCGAAATGAAAAAGTTAAATGAAAAGAAAAAAAGAGAAATTAAAAGAAAAATTAGAGAAGAAACTAGTATACAGAAAGAGAGAGAGAAAGCAGCAGATAATGAACACATCCAATATGGTCTGTTCAGAAATAGTATATTCCTTAAGGTTCTTGACTCTACCACCAATCAGTTCTTTAACTCACGTGTCATCTCTGCCATGATGTTTGGTCAACCCCTCGTGCTAGATATGGACTTTGAAAATCACATGACAACAAAGGAACGACAAAATTGTGCCTTCCAGATCCAGGTAAGTGTCATATAAAGTGTGAGAATTGTGCATGTATGTCATAGTGTGGCAGTCAAGGACACTAGTTCTTAGTTTTAGAGCTGCTGCATAATAATTTATAAAAATTAAAAACAGTTGCCATTAGGTTTTGATACTACCCTAACATTTGACAAAAACATACTGTAAATCGTCTGTGCCATATAGTCTTTAGGGCCTTCCGCAGAATACAACAAAAAAAGTAAACCTATTAAATGTGTGAAAAGATGCAGGAAGTGTAAGGAGACTTTGTCATCTTCCTTTGCTTGGGATTGAACGTAGATACTTTTGGTTGTGAGCCAAATGTTCTACCATTGAGTTAAGTGGTACCTGTATATTTTTTTATTCTATTTTTCTTTTACAGAAAACTGAATTTGGTGTTGATTAGATAGTTTTAAAATTTAGCATCTGCCAACTTCTTTGAAAATGTTGTCAGAAAGCACCTCCTGAGCCTAATTCAATTCATGAAGGTGGAATGTAAGTGCCAGATACATCTAATGTATCCTGCTTTTCCCAGATGGTCTTTCCTTAAAATCACTGTTACTCGAACTGTCCATACTCTTTTGTTTTACTGTCCCAGTATCTTATATATTGTGGGACAGTTAATCATTCACACTGTTGTGATTGGTTAATGCTCCAAGTCAGACCAAAACATCATTATAAGTAGGGTATGTAAATTTGGTCGAGCATGTAAAAAGAAGAAAATTAAAAGTGAATACAGTATAGGAAAGAGTAAGGTTATGAGGATAACAAAAAGATTAGGTAACGAAAGACTGGATATCAGATTCGAGGGAGAGAGTATGGAGGAGGTGAATGTATTCAGATATGTATTTAGGAGTAGACGTGTCAGCAGATGGGTCTATGAAGGATGAGGTGAATCACAGAATTGATGAGGGGAAAAGGGTGAGTGGTGCACTTAGGAGTCTGTGGAGACAAAGAACTTTGTCCGTGGAAGCAAAAAGGGAATGTATGATAGTATAGTTGTACCAACACTCTTGTATGGGTGTGAAGCATGGGTGATGAATGTTGCAATGGGGAAAAGGCTGGAGGCAGTGGAGATGTCATGTCTGAGGGCAGTGTGGGGTGTGAATGTAATGCAGAGAATTCGTAGTTCGGAAATTAGGAGAAGGTGTGGGATTTCCAAAACTATTATCCAGAGGGCTGAGGAGGGGTTGTTGAGGTGGTTCGGACATGTAGAGAGAATGGAACAAAACAGAATGACTTCGAGAGTGTATAAATTTGTAGTGGAGGGAAGGCGGGGTAGGGGTCGGCCTAGGAAGGGTTGGAGGGAGGGAGTAAAGGAGGTTTTGTGTGCAAGGGGCTTGGACTTCCAGCAAGCGTGCATGAGCATATTTAATAGGAGTGAATGGAGACAAATGGTTTTTAATACTTGATGTGCTGTTGGAGTGTGAGCAAAGTAACGTTTATGAAGGGATTCAGGGAAACCGGCAGGCCAGACATGAGTCCTGGAGATGGGAAGTAGTGTCTACACTCTGAAGGAGGGGTGTTAATGTTGCAGTTTTATAACTGTAGTGTAAAGCACCCCTCTGGCAAGACAATGATGGAGTGAATGATGATGAAAGTTTTTGTTTTTCGGGCCACCCTGCCTTGGTGGGAATCAGCCGATGTGTTAATCAAATCAAATAAAATAATAATACATAATACTATAATAATAATTATGATAATACATACATGTGTGTACTATAATAAATGAGTGTCAGAACACCACCATGAGATGGCAGAGTGAGTACCGAAACAACGCTCACCAGTGCACGTGTCCTTACAGAGCTTACCTCGCAGTGGAAGGAATTCTCGTGTTTTCCTTACATTTCGTGCAGTTATTTTGCCAAATTTCTTTTTTCTAACCATGGGTCATGAGAAAGCAAGTGCAAAGAACAGTGCTGAGAAGAAAAAGAGGATGATTTCCATGGAATTAAAGCAGGAAATCATAGATAAACACAAACTAGGTGCGAGGGTTAAGGATTTGGCAAGTGAGTACCAGTGTAGCAGTTCTATGATATGTACAGTACTAAAGCAGAAGGAGTCTATAAAGGCTATAGTGGACAGTTTTTTATTGAAATGCCCTGCAGATGAAAGTGTGAAAAGCATGGAGAAAAAGTAAAAAATCAGTGAATAGTGAAGTGAGATAAAAATAAAAATTGTAGCAGTTAACTTCAGTGATGAAGTGTAGCGTTTACAGTGTAGCAGTTAAGTGATTAAGTGATAGAAAAAGGACGAAACGAAATGTACTCCTGACAGCATACGTTGCTCTGCCTATCTTTTCCACCGCCAACCTTTGCCAGCATTTCTTCTCCAAGGTAAATGGCGTATGTACACCAGTTTATTTCTACATTATGTTTTCCTTATGAAAGTAGTGATCTAATGCAGTTAACCTCACAAACTCTGTTTTCTCTTATACTAACACCTCTGAAGGGGAAGCATGGGATGATGTTTTCATAGTGGGAGCGAGAATGCCTGCGACCACTCTCTTCTGCCACTGTCACCACTAGCCACATATGTAATGACATATTTTATTCATTCTAGAGTGTATATCAAGTTTCTATGTTATTTATATTGTTCATTATGCCATATTAGATGAATCGTGATAGATTAACCCGTAAACGGTCCAAACGTATATATACGTTTTTTCAACATTTGAAAGTATGTAAAAAAAGTAGATCTTTTTGTTTTTTTACATTTGAAAATGTGTAAAAAAACATTGATCTACTTTTTTTTTTGTTATATTTGAAAATATGTAAAAAAAAAAACGTAGATCTACTTTTGTAGCTTGGACCGTTTACGGGTTAATAAGCCTTAGAGTTGATATTAGCATCATACTGAAGTATTTTGTCGTGCCTCCTGAGAGCAGGAATTCTGCTGGAACGGATAATGGCATTTCAGTTAATTTAAATGAGGAAAATTGACTCAGCATACGAACAAATTGGGATATGAACAAGGTCACAGAACGGATTAAATTCATAAGCTGAGTTTCCACTGTATTAGTTACACTATGGCATTAACACTAGAGGGACACTCTTAGTGATTTTAATGTGTACCTGCATACCAGCACAGTGTGTAAGTGTATTTATGTACAGGTAAACAAGTACATATAACATCTTGTAGGAGTGAGGAAGAGCCAGTTGTGAGTGTGGGGGAAGTTCGTGAGGCAGTAGGTAAAATGAAAGGGGGTAAGGCAGCCGGGATTGATGGGATAAAGATAGAAATGTTAAAAGCAGGTGGGGATATAGTTTTGGAGTGGTTGGTGCAATTATTTAATAAATGTATGGAAGAGGGTAAGGTACCTAGGGATTGGCAGAGAGCATGCATAGTTCCTTTGTATAAAGGCAAAGGGGATAAAAGAGAGTGCAAAAATTATAGGGGGATAAGTCTGTTGAGTGTACCTGGTAAAGTGTATGGTAGAGTTATAATTAAAAGAATTAAGAGTAAGACGGAGAATAGGATAGCAGATGAACAAGGAGGCTTTAGGAAAGGTGGGGGGTGTGTGGACCAGGTGTTTACAGTGAAACATATAAGTGAACAGTATTTAGATAAGGCTAAAGAGGTCTTTGTGGCATTTATGGATTTGGAAAAGGCGTATGACAGGGTGGATAGGGGGGCAATGTGGCAGATGTTGCAAGTGTATGGTGTAGGAGGTAGGTTACTGAAAGCAGTGAAGAGTTTTTACGAGGATAGTGAGGCTCAAGTTAGAGTATGTAGAAAAGAGGGAAATTTTTTCCCAGTAAAAGTAGGCCTTAGACAAGGATGTGTGATGTCACCGTGGTTGTTTAATATATTTATAGATGGGGTTGTAAGAGAAGTAAATGCGAGGGTCTTGGCAAGAGGCGTGGAGTTAAAAGATAAAGAATCACACACAGGGTGGGAGTTGTCACAGCTGCTCTTTGCTGATGACACTGTGCTCTTGGGAGATTCTGAAGAGAGGCTGCAGGGATTGGTGGATGGATTTGGTAGGGTGTGCAAAAGAAGAAAATTAAAGGTGAATACAGGAAAGAGTAAGGTTATGAGGATAACAAAAGATTAGGTGATGAAAGATTGAATATCAGATTGGAGGGAGAGAGTATGGAGGAGGTGAACGTATTCAGATATTTGGGAGTGGACGTGTCAGCGGATGGGTCTATGAAAGATGAGGTGAATCATAGAATTGATGAGGGAAAAAGAGTGAGTGGTGCACTTAGGAGTCTGTGGAGACAGAGAACTTTGTCCTTGGAGGCAAAGAGGGGAATGTATGAGAGTATAGTTTTACCAACGCTCTTATATGGGTGTGAAGCATGGGTGATGAATGTTGCAGCGAGGAGAAGGCTGGAGGCAGTGGAGATGTCATGTCTGAGGGCAATGTGTGGGTGTGAATATAATGCAGAGAATTCGTAGTTTGGAAGTTAGGAGGAGGTGCGGGATTACCAAAACTGTTGTCCAGAGGGCTGAGGAAGGGTTGTTGAGGTGGTTCGGACATGTAGAGAGAATGGAGCGAAACAGAATAACTTCAAGAGTGTATCAGTCTGTAGTGGAAGGAAGGCGGGGTAGGGGTCGGCCTAGGAAGGGTTGGAGGGAGGGGGTAAAGGAGGTTTTGTGTGCGAGGGGCTTGGACTTCCAGCAGGCATGCGTGAGCGTGTTTGATAGGAGTGAATGGAGACAAATGGTTTTTAATACTTGACGTGCTGTTGGAGTGTGAGCAAAGTAACATTTATGAAGGGATTCAGGGAAACCGGCAGGCCGGACTTGAGTCCTGGAGATGGGAAGTACAGTGCCTGCACTCTGAAGGAGGGGTGTTAATGTTGCAGTTTAAAAACTGTAGTGTAAAGCACCCTTCTGGCAAGACAGTGATGGAGTGAATGATGGTGAAAGTTTTTCTTTTTCGGGCCACCCTGCCTTGGTGGGAATCGGCCAGTGTGATAATAATAATAAAAAAATTATTATCAGAGCACATATAAAATATGCAGTAACTTTAAAACACTTGAAATTTTGGAAAGTTTCCAGACAATAGAGAGATGTGCTCATGGAGAATGTAAACAAACCAGGTGGGGGTGCTCTGTATTAGAAAGAAGGGTTGCCGTATAGCAAGTTTTGGTCATAATTTGAAAGCGTCATATTAGCGGAACACCGTAAGGCGAAATGCCATAAAGCGGGGCCCTTCTGTATTTAGTTACAGTAATTATTTATTTATTTACTTATTCAACAACAGTAGTTATTTATTTGCTTATTTATTTATCATATCATGTATTCATATTCGACTCACAATGTTTTCAGTTTATGATGGGCTTGTCGAAATGTAACCCCATCGTAAGTCGAACGCCCAGTGAGAAATGCTCGTCTCGGGTCATTTTTCCTAATGAATAAAATAAAGCAGACACAATGATGAGTGGAGCTGTGCTACCTGGATACTAGAAATGATGGTCAGATCTAGATCTCACACCTGCTGCTTGAGTTGGGACAAAAAGTCAGGCTGGGCTGCAGAAAACAATATGAAGTTCAACGATGAGAAATTTCAATTACTCAGATATGGTAAACACGAGGAAATTAAATCTTCATCAGAGTACAAAACAAATTCTGGCCACAAAATTGAGCGAAACACCAACGTCAAAGACCTGGGAGTGATCATGTCGGAGGATCTCACCTTCAAGGACCATAACATTGTATCAATCGCATCTGCTAGAAAAATGACAGGATGGATAATGAGAACTTTCAAAACTAGGGAGGCCAAGCCCATGATGACACTCTTCAGGTCACTTGTTCTATCTAGGCTGGAATATTGCTGTACACTAACAGCACTTTTCAAGGCAGGTGAAATTGCTGACCTAGAAAATGTACAGAGAACCTTCACGGCGCGCATAACGGAGATAAAACACCTCAATTACTGGGAGCACTTGAGGTTCCTGAACCTGTATTCCCTGGAACGCAAGCGGGAGAGATACATGATTATATACACCTGGAAAATCCTAGAGGGACTAGTACCGAACTTGCACATGAAAATCACTCACTACGAAAGCAAAAGACTTGGCAGACGATGCAACATCCCCCCAATGAAAAGCAGGGGTGTCACTAGCACGTTAAGAGACCATACAATAAGTGTCAGGGGCCCGAGACTGTTCAACTGCCTCCCAGCATACATAAGGGGGATTACCAACAGACCCCTGGCAGTCTTCAAGCTGGCACTGGACAAGCACCTAAAGTCGGTTCCTGATCAGCCGGGCTGTGGCTCGTACGTTGGTTTGCATGCAGCCAACAGTAACAGCCTGGTTGATCAGGCTCTGATCCACCAGGAGGCCTGGTCACAGACTGGGCCGTGGGGGCGTTGACCCCCGGAACTCTCTCCAGGTAAACTCCAGGTAATATTTCTGATTAGAGACAAATTGTTGAAATTCACCAGCGACACATAAACTTCTTAGATCTCTTATTCTTGACAGGAATACTGCATATTATGTCAGCCTCAGCACATGGATATCCATATTTTTGATGAACCAAATATACATGTAGTACAGTGGACCCCCGCCTTACAATATTAATCCGTTCCTGAGAACTCATCGTAAGCAGAAATTATCGTAAGGTGAATTAATTTTCCCCATAAGAAATAATGGAAGTCAAATTAATCTGTGCAATCACCCCAGAGTATGAAAAAAAAAAATTTTACCACATGAAATATTAATTTTAATACACACAAACTGAAGAAGGCATGCACAATTACTACTCTACTAAGAATAGAATACATGACACATACCTTTATTGAAGATCTGGTGATGATTGATGGGATGGGAGGAGGGGAGAATGTGGAAGTTGTTATTGTTTAGAAGGGGAATCCCCTTCCATTAGGACTTGAGGTAGCAAATCCTTTTCCAGGGTTACTTCCTTTCTTCTTTTAATGCCACTAGGACCAGCTTGAGAGTCACTGGACCTCTGTCGCACAACAAATCTGTCCATAGAGCTCTGTACTTCCCGTTCCTTTAAAGCTTTCCTAAAATGGGCCATAACATTGTCATTGTACAGGTTGCCAACATGGCTTGCAGTAGCTGTGTCAGGGTGATTTTCATCCGTAAAGGTTTGCAGTTCAACCCACTTTGCACACATTTCCTTAATCTCTTTTTCAATTCCATACTAATTCTTGCCCTTTTTACCACAGGGGTGGCACTAGAAGCTTTCTTGGGGTCCATGGTGACTTATTTTGCAGTTACAAGCACTAAAAACACTGGGATAATGTGAAATTTACCGAATGTATGCGTAGATGCGACTGCACTGGCTGGCTTGTAAACACTGGCGCTGAGGCCACACATGGGACGTGTCCCGGACGAATCACGTAAGGCGAGTTTTTTGTCGTGAGGCAAGGCAAAATTTTTGCGTTCAAATGTTTCATATGGCGGATTTAACGTAAGGCGATGCGTTCATAAGGCTGGGGTCCATTGTACTGGGTATATACAGTGGAACCTTCATATTTGTACATCCAATATTTATCCAACATTTTCGAGAAAACTTTAACTCGGTATTTGACTTAAACAAAACAGTGTTACTGAAACATTAAGCTGTGAAAAAGCAAAGCAGTTATATAGAGATCTTAGGTGAGACGCCCTGGGAAACAGCACTAATGGTAATTTTTTGGCATCTGGAATGAATTAATCCAATTTACATTATTTCTTATGGAAAAAATTTATTCAATATTCGTACAACTCACTATTCGAACAGCCTCCTGGAATGAATTAAGTTTGAATATTGAGGTGCTGCTGTATTTTTTGTATGAGGAATTTTGTTTATACAAAAATTTGGGGTAAAAAATAAATATAGCTGTGCCAAGAATGTCAGGTTGTTCTGGCAGCTCAACATCTCTTTATTGCCATTTCAGATTCTTTCTTACTTCGTCTGCCGTCCTTGCTGATGCTCCCACTTTCACTCTAGACTCTTGAGTTCTTAACTGAAACCAATTTACTATATCATGTAACATCTCTCATGACAGTGCTGTAATAATAATTCTTTGATATGTTAAAGTTACTTTTTCTCTTATTGTTCATGCAAATTCACTGAAATGTTGATTATATAGTAAGATTTTATTTTATATTTTAAAATAAATTACCACATTATTTATGAAAGATCATCTTCTTTAGAAAGCAACAATTTCTTATTCCTATCCTCTTGATTCTTATCTATAGTACATTGTAAATAAAGGGATTTGCTTTTACAGACATTTGTTTGAATGTTTGGCAGATGTTGATAGGAGGGAACAGGGTCCATGCTGATCCATATGCCATACACCTCTGTAATGTAGACAGCTCTGCAGACACCATGCAGCGACTGGCTAAGTTCATCCCCACAATGTACCAGGTAAGAATATTCTGCCTTGAATTATGGTACAATACTACGATTTGGAGGGATATGTTGTGTATCTTTATACATATATGCTTCTAAACTGTTGTGTTCTGAGCATCTCTGCAAAAACAGTGATTATGTGTGAGTGAGGTGAAAGTGTTGAATGATGATGAAAGTATTTTCTTTTTGGGGATTTTCTTTCTTTTTGGGTCACCTTGCCTTGGTGGGAGACGGCCGACTTGTTGAAAAAAAAAACTACTACTATTCAATATTGTATTTTTGTTTTTTAACACACTGGCTGTCTGTCATCAAGGCAGGGTGGTCCGAAAAAGAGGAAACAAATGTTTTTCTTCATTTTTACATTTAGTAATTAATACAGGAGAAAGTTTTATTAGTCCCTTGCTCCTGGCATTTTAGTTGCCTTTTATGACATGCATGGCTTATGGAGGGAGGATACTTTTTCCACTTCCCCATAGATACATATTGTATTTTATGTACTTTTTTAATAGTATGTATTATACAATATGCTTATTATTGACTTAAATCAGAGTACAGTACAGTATGTATTAAATACTGAATACAGCACTACATCATTGTTTCAGTGATAACAAGGACAGTGAGAAAGAAGAATTGTAGTCAGAAATACTAAAGACATGCATGGAAAATAAGGGAAGAAAATAGAGGTCCTAGAGCTCAGATGGAAAGAACTAGTGGAGTGTACCCACAAGCCTGTGGTGTGGAATGATCCCAGTTTTATCTATGGCAGAAAACCTTTGGTGTCCACCAGCATAGGTCATTAAAGAACATGAGGTATTCCTGAATAACATTTGTGGTATAGTTTAAACTAAGAAAACAAAGAATCATGAGATAAATGTATGGAGGAGTGTGTGTTGAAGTGGTATAGCTATGTTAACATCAAAGGTTGTATGAAGAATCATGTATTGAGGCGGTATAGCATGTTAATACAGGAAGGGGTACAATGGAGTGTTTATTGATATTATAGATGTACAGTGTTATCATGGAAAGGTGTATAAAAGAGTGTATATTGAGATGTTATAGATATGTTAATATGGGAAGGCGTATGAACAAATGTACAATAAGACCCCCATATCCACGAGGGAAGTGTTATAAGGACCTGCCGCAAATACCAAAACTACGGGTAGTAGCGAACCCTATATATAAGTCCTATACATACCTATTATAAAGTGGAAAAGAATCTTTCCTCCATAAGCCATGCGTGTCGTATGAGGCGACTAAAATGCCGGGAGCAATGGGCTAGTAACCCCTTCTCCTGTAGACATTTACTAAAAAAGAGAAGAAGAAAAACTTTATAAAACTGGGATGAAAATAAATGGTATAAAATACCGACAATATGGAAACATAAACACATATGCAGTTTAATGTGATCCTTTATTGACAACATTTCACCCACACAGGGGGCTTTTTCAAGTAACAAACAGATCTACCTGGGGTGGAAGGTACAGGAGCATTTATAGTCAGGTTCAGAATGTTGAGGTCAGGTGGAGAATGCTGCATCTGATGATCCAATGGGTTGGGTTATAGAATCTTGGGTAGCTTGGCGGGGGTATTGGACAAGTTGTGAGTAGACCTTCTGCAGTGTTCTATGTTCTTATGTGGGATAGCGATGAAGAAATTTCTTGGCAAGTGGTTCAGCTATGTTATAGAAGCCATTGTTCTGGTTGAAATTGTTGGTTATAGAGATAAATGATGATTCCAGGATTCTTCGGTATTGAGTGTTGTCTTCTGTGGCGATAAGTCTTGAGTTTCTGTAGTTAATTAAATGGTTGTGTGAATTGCGATGTTGTACACAGGCATTCCTTGTATCGTCAGTCCTGCTTGCGTATTGGTGTTCTGAAATACGTGTTTGGAGGTCTCTTGATGTTTCACCCACGTATAATTTGTTGCAGTCATTACAAGGGATTATGTATACCCCTGCAGAGGATGGAAGCTTGTCCTGTCTACTACTGGTGATGTCCTTGATGGTCGTGGTTGTGGAGGTAGATACTTGGAATGATGTATTGGAAAAGATGTTGGAAACATGTTTGGCAATGGAGTTGGTGGGGAGGACTATGTATCTCTTCTCCGCAGTGTCTTCTCTGGGTGTGTTGAAGATGTTTAATGCCCACCGTCTGCAGTCTCTGATGAAGTGACGAGGATAGTGGAGTTTTGAAAATACTTGTTCAATTATAGTGCATTCTTCCTCAAGGAACTCATTGCTGCAGATTCTGAGTGCGCGCAGGAAGAAGCCTATAATTACACCACGTTTAGTTTTGGTGTCGTGGTGAGAGTAGAAGTGGAGAAGATCGTTTTGGTTGGTTGGTTTTCGATAGACTTTAAAACGAAGTTCATGGTCAGTTTTGCAGAGAAGAACATCAAGGAAAGGAAGAGTGTTGTTGACTTCTTCTTCGAGTGCTCCCGTACCTTCCACCCCAGGTAGATCTGTTTGTGACTTGAAAAAGCCCACTGTGTGGGTGAAACGTTGTCAATAAAGGATCACATTAAACTGCATATGTGTTTATGTTTCCAAAACTGGGATGCTTGAATGTGCGTGGATGTAGTGCGGATGACAAGAAACAGATGATTGCTGATGTTATGAATGAAAAGAAGTTGGATGTCCTGGCGCTAAGCGAAACAAAGCTGAAGGGGGTAGGGGAGTTTCGGTGGGGGGAAATAAATGGGATTAAATCTGGAGTATCTGAGAGAGTTAGAGCAAAGGAAGGGGTAGCAGTAATGTTGAAGGATCAGTTATGGAAGGAGAAAAGAGAATATGAATGTGTAAATTCAAGAATTATGTGGATTAAAGTAAAGGTTGGATGCGAAAAGTGGGTCATAATAAGCATATATGCACCTGGAGAAGAGAGGAATGTAGAGGAGAGAGAGAGATTTTGGGAGATGTTAAGTGAATGTATAGGAGCCTTTGAACCAAGTGAGAGAGTAATTGTGGTAGGGGACCTGAATGCTAAAGTAGGAGAAACTTTTAGAGAGGGTGTGGTAGGTAAGTTTGGGGTGCCAGGTGTAAATGAAAATGGGAGCCCTTTGATTGAACTTTGTATAGAAAGGGGTTAAATAAGTATACAAGATATGATGTAAAGCAAAATGACAGTAGTTTGTTGGATTATGTATTGGTAGATAAAAGACTGTTTAGTAGACTTCAGGATGTACATGTTTATAGAGGGGCCACAGATATATCAGATCTCTTTCTAGTTGTAGCTACACTGAGAGTAAAAGGTAGATGGGATACAAGGAGAATAGAAGCATCAGGGAAGAGAGAGGTGAAGGCTTATAAACTAAAAGAGGAGGCAGTTAGGGTAAGATATAAACAGCTATTGGAGGATAGATGGGCTAATGAGAGCATAGGAAATGGGGTCGAAGAGGTATGGGTAGGTTTAAAAATGTAGTGTTAGAGTGTTCAGCAGAGAAGTTTGTGGTTACAGGAAAGTGGGTGCGGGAGGGAAGAGGAGCGATTGGTGGAATGATGATATAAAGAGAGTAGTAAGGGAGAAAAAGTTAGCATATGAGAAGTTTTTACAAAGTAGAAGTGATGCAAGGTGGGAAGAATATATGGAGAAAAAGAGAGGTTAAGAGAGTGGTGAAGCAATGTAAAAAGAGAGCAAATGAGAGAGTGGGTGAGATGTTATCAACAAATTTTGTTGAAAATAAGAAAAAGTTTTGGAGTGAGATTAACAAGTTAAGGAAGCCTAGAGAACAAATGGATTTGTCAGTTAAAAATAGGAGAGGAGAGCTATTAAATGGAGAGTTAGAGGTATTATCTGGAGTTTATCTGGAGAGAGTTCCGGGGGTCAACGCCCCCGCGGCCCGGTCTGTGACCAGGCCTCCTTAGGTCAGTATCCCAGGATGCGACCCACACCAGTCGACTAACACCCAGGTACCCATTTTACTGATGGGGAACATAGACAACAGGTGGAAAGAAACACGTCCAATGTTTCTACTCTGGCTGGGAATCGAACCCAGGCCCTCACCGTGTGAAGCGAGAGTGTTAACCACCAGGCCACCAGAGAAGATGGAGGGAATATTTTGAGGAATTGTTAAATGTTGATGAAGATAGGGAAGCTGTGATTTCGTGTATAGGGCAAGGAGGAATAACATCTTGTAGGAGTGAGGAAGAGCCAGTTGTGAGTGTGGGGGAAGTTCGTGAGGCAGTAGGTAAAATGAAAGGGGGTAAGGCAGCTGGGATTGATGGGATAAAGGTAGAAATGTTAAAAGCAGGTGGGGATATAGTTTTGGAATGGTTGGTGCTTTTAATTAATAAATATATGGAAGAGGGTAAGGTACCTAGGGATTGGCAGAGAGCATGCATAGTTCCTTTGTATAAAGGTAAAGGGGACAAAAGAGAGTGCAAAAATTATAGGGGGATAAGTCTGTTGAGTATACCTGGTAAAGTGTATGGTAGAGTTATTATTGAAAGAATTAAGAGTAAGACGGAGAATAGGATAGCAGATGAACAAGGAGGCTTTAGGAAAGGTAGGGGGTGTGTGGACCAGGTGTTTACAGTGAAACATATAAGTGAACAGTATTTAGATAAGGCTAAAGAGGTCTTTGTGGCATTTATGGATTTGGAAAAGATGTATGACAGGGTGGATAGGGGGGCAATGTGGCAGATGTTGCAAGTGTATGGTGTAGGAGGTAGGTTACTGAAGATAAGATAAGATAAGATTTCATTCGGATTTTTAACCCCGGAGGGTTAGCCACCCAGGATAACCCAAGAAAGTCAGTGCATCATCGAGGACTGTCTAACTTATTTCCATTGGGGTCCTTAATCTTGTCCCCCAGGATGCGACCCACACCAGTCGACTAACACCCAGGTACCTATTTGCTGCTAGGTGAACAGGACAACAGGTGTAAGGAAACGTGTCGGAATGTTTCCACCCGCCGGGAATCGAACCCGGGCCCTCCGTGTGTGAAGCGGGAGCTTTAGCCACCAGAGTTTTTACGAGGACAGTGAGGCTCAAGTTAGAGTATGTAGGAAAGAGGGAAATTATTTCCCAGTAAAAGTAGGCCTTAGACAAGGATGTGTGATGTCACCGTGGTTGTTTAATATATTTATAGATGAGGTTGTAAGAGAAGTAAATGCGAGGGTCTTGGCAAGAGGCGTGGAGTTAAAAGATAAAGAATCACACAAAGTGGGAGTTGTCACAGTTGCTCTTTGCTGATGACACTGTGCTCTTGGGAGATTCTGAAAAGAAGTTGCAGAGATTGGTGGATGAATTTGGTAGGGTGTGCAAAAGAAGAAAATTGAAAGTGAATACAGGAAAGAGTAAGGTTATGAGGATAACAAAAAGATTAGGTGATGAAAGATTGGATATCAGATTGGAGGGAGAGAGTATGGAGGAGGTGAAAGTATTGAGATATTTGGGAGTGGATGTGTCAGCGGATGGGTCTATGAAAGATGAGGTGAATCATAGAATTGATGAGGGGAAAAGGGTGAGTGGTGCACTTAGGAGTCTGTGGAGACAAAGAACTTTGTCCTTGGAGGCAAAGAGGGGAATGTATGAGAGTATAGTTTTACCAACGCTCTTATATGGGTGTGAAGCATGGGTGATGAATGTTGCAGTGAGGAGAGGGCTGGAGGCAGTGGAGATGTCATGTCTGAGAGCAATGTGTGGTGTGAATATAATGCAGAGAATTCGTAGTTTGGAAGTTAGGAGGAGGTGCGGGATTACCAAAACTGTTGTCCAGAGGGCTGAGGAAGGGTTGTTGAGGTGGTTCGGACATGTAGAGAGAATGGAGCGAAACAGAGTGACTTCAAGAGTGTATCAGTCTGTAGTGGAAGGAAGGCGGGGTAGGGGTCGGCTTAGGAAAAGTTGGAGGGAGGGGGTAAAGGAGGTTTTGTGTGCGAGGGGCTTGGACTTCCAGCAGGCATGCGTGAGCGTGTTTGATAGGAGTGAATGGAGACAAATGGTTTTTAATACTTGACGTGCTGTTGGAGTGTGAGCAAAGTAACATTTATGAAGGGATTCAGGGAAACCGGCAGGCCGGACTTGAGTCCTGGAGATGGGAAGTACAGTGCCTGCACTCTGAAGGAGGGGTGTTAATGTTGCAGTTTAAAAACTGTAGTGTAAAGCATCCTTCTGGCAAGACAGTGATGGAGTGAATGATGGTGAAAGTTTTTCTTTTTCGGGCCACCCTGCCTTGGTGGGAATCGGCCAGTGTGATAATAAATAAATAATTAATAAGTGGAGAATTATCACTTTTTCACCGATGGGAAGCACTTCACGGCTTCTCTTAGGCTTTGAAGAACTTCCATCACTACTTTTGCACTTTGAGGCCATTATTAGACAAATTTAAGGGTTATTTTCAGGCCATGGTAAACTGTGAATAACTGAAACCGCGGGTACCAGACCCATGGATATGGAGGTTCTAGCGCATATTGAAATGTCATAGATATTTTAACAGGGAAGTGTAGGAAAGTATATATTAATATGTTTCATCTATGTTAGTATGGGAAGGTGTATGGATGAGTGTATATTGGGGTGTTATACCTGGTGTTGAGATGTTATAGGTAGTATTGCTATGAATAAACAGTAGGATAGATGAGAGGCTTGAACCTTGGTCCTAATATTGTCAAGTTCGTTGTTCTACCACCTCAGCAGCCAGGTTTTTAATAGCATCCAAGGGGGTAGAGCGATGAACCTGACAATTATTGGGACTACTGTTTGAACCTTTCTCTGTTTATTCACTGACAGTCATTTATTACAACTTCATCTGAGTTTTTATATTGCTATATTTACAGTACATTGTGATTAAAGTAGCATGAAGGAGGCAGAGAAGAGGACAAGGGGGCAGATATAGTAAGGGAGTTTTAGAAGCTAATAAATGAAAAGTGCTAAGTCAGTAAAGGCCAGCCATTAATGAATGGTATAGATAGGTACAATATTGAGGAGTAGAGTAGAGGGGGCCCAGAGAGTCAGGTATACAGTACACTATGTATACAATAAAAGAGCAAAAAAAGGGATGCAGAAGATAATTAGAAAGAAAGAGGATATTAAAATAAATCTATCATTGCAATAGATCAACCATGTATACATAGTCAAAGATAGAATGTACATTAAATAGAAGAGGTTTTAGGAAGGACAGAATATTGAAGTTGATGGTGCTAGAGTCTTGCCCATACATTGTGGAAAATATAGATAAAAATGATATTATAATGTTAATTCATACTAGTATTTTGAAAATACAAAATGGGAATTGACACAGTTACTTTTTGCTGATGATACTGTGCTTATGGGAGATTCTAAAGAAAAATTGCAAAGGTTAGTGGATGAGTTTGGGAGTGTGTGTAAAGGTAGAATGTTGAAAGCGAACATAGAAAAGAGTAAGGTGATGAAGATAAAGAAAAATTGGATATCAAATTGGGGAAGAGGAGTATGGAAGAAGTGAATGTTTTCAGATACTTGGGAGTTGACGTGTCGGCGGATGGATTTATGAAGGATGAGGTTAATCATAGAATTGATGAGGGGAAAAAGGTGAGTTGTGCATTGAGGTATATGTGGAGTCAAAAAACATTATCTATGGAGGCAAAGAAGGGAATGTATGAAAGTATAGTAGTACCAACACTCTTATATGGGTGGGAAGCTTGGGTTGTGAATGCAGCAGCGAGGACGCGGTTGGAGGCAGTGGAGATGTCCTGTCTAAGGGCAATGTGTGGTGTAAATATTATGCAGAAAATTCGGAGTGTGGAAATTAGGAGAAGGTGTGGAGTTAATAAAAGTATTAGTCAGAGAGCTGAAGAGGGGTTGTTGAGGTGGTTTGGTCATTTAGAGAGAATGGATCAAAGTAGAATGACATGGAGAGCATTTTAATCTGTAGGAGAAGGAAGGCGGGGTAGGGGTCGTCCTCGAAAAGGTTGGAAGGAAGGGATAAGGGATGTTTTGTGGGCGAGGGGCTTGGACTTCCAGCAGGCGTGCATGAGCGTGTTCGATAGGAGTGAATGGAGACGAATGGTATTTGGGACCTGACGATCTGTTGGAGTGTGAGCAGGGTAATATTTAGTGAAGGGATTCAGGGAAACCGGACTTGAGCCCTGGAAATGGGAAGTACAATGCCTGCACTTTAAAGGAGGGGTTCGGGATATTAGCAGTTTGGAGGGATATGTTGTGTATCTTTATACGTATATGCTTCTAAACTGTTGTATTCTGAGCACCTCTGCAAAAACAGTGATTATGTGTGAGTGAGGTGAAAGTGTTGAATGATGATGAAAGTATTTTCTTTTTGGGGATTTTCTTTCTTTTTGGGTCACCCTGCCTTGGTGAGAGATGGCTGACTTGTTGAAAAAAAAAAAATTGAAAATAATAAGTATAAAACTATTATAAAATAGTATTCAAAGGAAAAAAGGAAGAAGCCGTTAAAAACATGCAGCAAATATACAAATGAAAATAAGAATAAGTTTAAGAGACACTATTCTGTTCATTCATCTTGTGATGATGAGCGAGATGGGATGCACACTTAATATTCTATAACTATTCTCTTTGCTCAATTATTGTATAGTATTTGGGTTGTGATTCTTGATAATGTATTTTGTTTAATATGATATTTGATTTTTACAGCCAGAGTTTCCATTGATAATGACACCAGAGAGCTATTTGGATACATTTCCTCGAGACAAGTTGGTGTATCTCACGCCTCACTGTAACGAAAATATGGAAAACTATGACCACGATGCTATTTACATTGTTGGTGCATTAGTGGATAAATCTAATGGTGCTCCCCTGACCCTTGCTAAAGCTAAAAAGGAAGGTATTAAAATGAAGAAGCTTCCTCTTGACAGGTAAGATATGACATTTGTATAACTTTGAGGTTTGAGAGGAAGAGTGTGGTAGAGGGTTGCATAATGGTGACATGCTACAATCCTGATTCTCTCTAGGATAAGAAACATGGCTGTGGTCTGAGAGTGAAAATAATAAAGTTAGAGCAGGAAAGAAGGACAATTCTGATAGAAGAATAGATGAATAAAGGATATTATAGAAAAATTGGTTAACACATTTGGTAGTTTTCTACCATGGTAATGTGACCCAAAGAAAGAATCATTCACCATCACTAATGCATTAGCTTCCTTGCCAAAAGTAAGCAGGCATCACATCACAAATTATCATCTAAACTGTAACATCCCCCACCTATTCTTAGTTTTGAGAGCAGGTCCCCCTCAGGAGGTTCCTTGATGCTGGTGAGGGGCTCTTGATCTAGGGAATTGGATCTGTGCTCCAGTTCCCTGAATTGAGCCTGAATACCTTCCCCCCTCCCCCACATGCACTGTATAATCCTATGGGTTTAGCACCCCCCATGATTATAATAATAATTTGAGAGCAGGTACTATACAGTACTACCCAGCTCCAGAACTGAAGTTTGGCATGTAAAGATCTGTTAATTATATTATTGAGGAGACTGTTACATTGGGAATTTACATGTTAAAAGCTGGGGTTGATGGAAGGTGTAGAGGGTGTCCCAGGGATGGCTGGTAGGAGGGTGTTTCAGGGATGACTGGTAGAAGGGTCTTCAGGGATGACTGGTAGGAGGGTCTTCCAGGGATGACTGGTAGGAGGGTCTTCCAGGGATGACTGGTTGGAGGGTCTTCCAGGGATGACTGGTAGGAAGGTGTGAATAAGGATTGAAAACCTGAGCATCCAACGGGTGAGTGTGTTAGATCAGAGTGAGTGGAGACAAGTGACTTTTTGGGATATTAGTTACTTTTGTGGTGTTAACAATGAAACATATATGAAGGGATTAAGAGAAGCCAGTTATCCACACTTAAATTTTGTAGATGGGACACTGCCTGTGCTTTGAAGGATGGGTGAGGATGTAGTAGTATGAAGAGTTATTTGAATTGTGAAGCCCAAGCACTTCTTTTAAAGACAACTAGAGAATATTTCCCTTTTAGGGACACTGTACTTTGGTGGGAAATACCTGTGATAAAAAGTGTGGCACTGAAAGGTATCTTTTAGTAAGTTTTAGGGAGAGGTGAGGAGAGAACAACTAAGAAACCAGATGTGAGTGAGCAGTTGAGTAATTGAGAAAATGTAGTTTGTAAACAGCTCAGGAGTAGTAGTAATAAACAGGATTGGGGAAAAGAACTTTGTTGAGAGTAAATGAGTGATTGATTTTTTTAAACATAATGGCCATCTCCCACTAAGGCAGAGTAACCCCCTCCTCCCCCCCCCCCCCCCCAAAAAAAAAGAAACTCTTTCACCATCATTAATGCTATCACTGTCTCTTCAGGGGTATGCCAATACTTCAGTTCAGGTGCCCCTCTAAACTGAAAATATCCCCACCTTTCCTTTAGAATGCAGACACTGCATGTCCACCTCCAGGACTCTAATCCAACTAACTGGTTTTGCTGAATCCCTTCACAGAATGTTACCTTTCTCACACTCCAACAGCTCATCAAATCCCAAAATCCATTTGCCTCCACTCATTCTTATCTAACATGCTCACACATGCCTGCTAGATGTTCAAGCCCTTTGCACACAAAGCTACATGAAGTACTCCTTTAATTTTTTTATGTTATTAGGAAGTGTTCTGGTATTACTTATTTTCCTATACTACCTTACATGAGATGGTAAACCTGTAGGGGGTCATTCAGCTTGAAAGTTCGTGGAGGCTTAATCCTATTTTTGTATTCTATTGACTTTTGCTGTAATTTAATATTTAGTGTTTGCTATAATGATATACTTTTTCAGGTACTTACCATGGGGCATAGGTGGGAAGTCTCTTACCATTAACCAAGTTGTCAATATTATGTTGGATATGAAGCATACAGGTATGTTTTTGTAGTTTTTAGTCCAATTTACAGGCTAAGTTTTGTTATCCTTTCTCAGCTTTTTATTAAAGCTCAGCCCTATGTAAGGTACACTTCCATCCCCTGTGTGCCACCCACAACAGTTGGCTAACACACAGAAACCCATTTACTGCTAAGTGAACATGGGCAACACATGTAAGGAGACTTACTCATATGTTATACTGGAGGCCCTTAAACAAGTTCAGTTCCTGATGTTTCAAGTTTCACACTAGTTTATATAAAAATTAATAACACAAATGATAAATAGGCTTAAGCCATGTGTACTGCCTCAGTGGTTATAGAAAGTTACAGTAATTGGTTCCTAAATTTTTGTGAGGAGGTTTGTGTTGTGGGGACCTCCTCTACTTGATTCACTCTCCTCCAAATTCTCTCCCATATTCACTCTTTCTCCATGGGGAAGTGGAACAGAATTCTTCCTCCATAAGCCATGCATGTCATAAGAGGTGACTAAAATGCCGGGTGACCCAAAACAGAAAGAAACACTTTCACCATCATTCATATATAATCACCGTCTTTGCAGAGGGACTTAGATATGACAGTTCAGATGTCACTCCATACATCCAATTTCCTGTTTGGAGTAACATCTGAACTGTCATGTCTGGGCACCTCTGCAAAGACAGTGATTATGTGTGAATGATGGTAAAAGTGTTTCTTTTTTTTTTGGGTCACTCTGCCTCAGTGGGAGACGGCTGATGTGTTAAAAAAATTGCCATAATTGTATACTGTACCATATATACCATCATGGTAACTGATATGTAAATGGTCCAAGTTGCACCGAAACGTCGTCGTAAGCTCCTCTCTTCTATATGCGGGTTATTTGTGTATTGTTGCAGATGACTGGCAGTATTCTTTGCGGCATGTTCCTAGGAGAAAACTACAATCCACAAACTCTGAGGTGGAGCTGGAGGATGTAATACGGAAAAGAATCAGCAAGCAGAAAAGAGTCAGGCATTACTCCTACTCCCTGGAACCGACACATAGGTACAAACTGGATTTTTTATGAAGTATTTTACAAAGCTTGTTCATGAAATGCTTTCATTCAGTTGTGTTAATACATTAGAAAGCTATAAAATATTTGTCATGCAGTAGTGTGTATGTTCATGCTTGCAAATTACAAGTATTATTATACACAAATAACCTGCACATAAGAGAGAAGCTTACGATGACGTTTCGGTCCGACTTGGACCATTGACAAAGTCACACTAACCAGAGGTGGAGCAGGATGGCTATATATAGGCAGGAAGAGGTGGTGGTAGTAGTAGTAGTACAAGAATTGTATATAATACCGACAAGATGAAATTAAGACACATGCACAACACCCGGGCATCCCAATCGTAGACGTTTCGCCATCCAGCCAGCCACTGGATGGCGAAACGTCCACAACAAAGACAACCAGACGCCGCACACTACTACTACTACTACTACCACCACCTCTTCCTGCCTATATATAGCCATCCTGCTCCACCTCTGGTTAGTGTGACTTTGTCAATGGTCCAAGTCGGACCGAAACGTCGTCGTAAGCTTCTCTCTTTTATGTACGGGTTATTTGTGTATCGTTCCAGTCACGGTATTGTGCCTTTTTGTTATTTACAAGTATTATTCATAAATATCCACCTCCTGCAGGTGGGATATGACCTCTTTGAGTCAATTTTTTTTGTCTTGTAGTGGGTAGGAGCATCAGTATTTTGCCAGTTGTTGGAATTTCCTACAACTCTTACCAGAGATTGTCATGCCTTGTGGGAAGCCTGGGTACAGAGTTATGAAACATGTCTTGAGTGTTATAGTAACATCTTGTCACTGTTCTGATGTAAAATATGTCTTGAGTGTAATAACTATCATAGTCACATATTTAAATGTTGTGAAATATAACCTACCTTGAGTGTTTTATTTGTCATAATAACATCCTGTCACTTTTAAAGTAGTATAGGTTCTGCTTCTAACTTGCATATTATCTGTGATAATGGTTTTACCTGTAGGAAACAAGTCTCACTTTTCATATAGAAAAGAAATGATACTGTATTTGTATACATTTTTCTCTGCAGGAGATACAAGATGGATTAGACATGTAGAAGAGGCACAAGATTTTAAGACACAAGTACAAGAGTATTGAAGACACGTGAATATTTTAAATGTGCAGCAAATAGAAGAAAGATAAGCAATGATAAGGGTATATGAAAATCTCTGCACTGGCCAAGCAACAAGTAGCCCATACAGGTTAATAACTTTTGTGTTCACTTCACTTTGCCTTGGCAGGAGACGACCATTGAGTTAAAAAAAAAAATTATAATCTACTCTGGTTCAGCCACTGGCTTAGTGGGAATTAGATTGTACATTAGTAAACAGAAAAGCCAGTGTTTAGGGAATTTGTTGAAATATTCTGAAACAGAATACCAGTAATATATGTAAATGAATGCCTTGACTTTAATCAATTTTTAGAAAAAATATAAAGTTCATTGATTATGGATGAAAATTTATGAACATTAAAAATTTGGTGATAAATTTTTGGAATGTGTAGTAAATAACTAATTATATTGAAGAGCACATACGTGATGTTTTGCAGGCCATATTAACACATTTTCAATAAACCTTTGAATAATCTGTATGTATAAAGATACAAATAATGAATTTTGTGTTTCTTCTTTCTCCTGAGTTAAGAAACTTGTGTTGTCAGTTATTTAAAAAAAAAAGGTAACTGAATGACCCAAACAGATTTAGTGCCATTTTTGTGAATACTGTGTACAGTAATAATAATGCAGTGAGCTATCTTAAAAAATTTCTTTACATAGTGTTTTTTGTGTGTTTAAAAAATGCATCCTAAATTTAATAGTGCTTACAATAAACATCTTTCTACATGTTATTCAGTTTTAGATGTACTTTTTCAATCAAATTTATAAAAAAAATCACTAGAACAGCTTTATAAGAGATCAAGACTCCATCATAAGGATACAAGACATCATAAGGATACAGCACCCCATCATAAGGATACAGCACCCCATCATAAGGATACAGCACCCCATCATAAGGATACAACACCCCAGCATAAGGATATACAACACCCCATGATAAAGATACAACACCCTATCATAAGGATACAAGATACTTTGATTATCACATTCATAAGGGGAGCACTAAACCCATAGGGGTCATACAATGCCTCAAGGAGTGACAGGCATGCAGGCTTTATTCAAATAATTGAAGCATTGTTCCAGCTCCTTAGATCAAGAGCCCCTCACTAACATCAAAGAACCTTCTTTAAGGAGTGTAAATAGACAAGACAAACCCCCAAAGAGTGAATAAACCAGTTATTAAGTATGCTGTATTGCAAGTCTTGCAAATTTTAAGTTGGCTTGTGGAACATGACGGTCTGGTTAGGTTCCTTGCTAGTGAATTGAATCTTGCTCTTTATCCCGTAAAAAATGGAGTATGTCAAGAAAACCATCCTAGGTGGAGTATGAGTTAAACCATCCTGTATGATGGCTCATGATGGATACCATCCTTGGGTATGGAGTGTGAAAGTTAAACCATCTTGTGTGATGGAGTATGACAGTTAACCCATCCTGTATGAAGGAGTATGACAAGAAAACCATCCTGTATGAAGGAGTATGAATGGAAAACCATCCTGTATGAAGGAGTATGAAGAGGAGAAAACCATCCTGTATAGAAGGATGTATGAAATGGGAAAAAAAACCATCCTGTATGAAGGAGTATGACAAGAAAACTATCCTGTATGAAGGAGAATGACAGGAAAACCATCCTGTATGAAGGAGTATGACAAGAAAACTATCCTGTATGAAGGAGTATGACAAGAAAACTATCCTGTATGAAGGAGAATGACAGGAAAACCATCCTGTATGAAGGAGTATGACAAGAAAACTATCCTGTATGAAGGAGAATGACAGGAAAACCATCCTGTGTGATGAAGTATGACAGGGGCATCCAGTGCTGTATGACCCTTGTGGGTTTAGCGCTAAGTAAGTAAGTAAATTTATTCAGGTATACACAAATACAGTTACATAGAATTATCATACATAGCAGCATATGTGTAGAGAACCTAGGATAACCCAAAAAAGTCAGACAGTGACTTATTTCCATTGGGGTCCTTTACTTAGTTTTGATCGTAGTAGCAGTAATAATTATGACGAGGGGAAAAACATCCTGTATAAAGGAGTATGACAGGAATAAGTAAGTACAATAAGAAACATCCTAAGTTAATAATTTGCTATTAAAAATCTTGAAAGATTTATTAGATAACAGTCTTACGAGATGTCAGTATAATTGCATCATTTACGAAGTTGACAAAAATGGACTAAATAAATGTTGTGTATGCGATGGGCTTTTAAAACATTATTTATCCATCGTTTGAAAGATGAATTTTAATAATACATTAATTAAATGACGCAGCAATAAAGGCTTCCTGTGTATGCCGGAAACCTGTGACGTCATGGTCAGCTGATACCATGTTCGTATAGACCATGCGGTTTTGTAGCTCCAATCCACCCTTTTATTACTTTAGTAATTATTCCTCTGATTATTTAATTCGTGGATCATTATTTATTACATACATTTAAGGATAGTTTCAATGTAATTAATATACAAAACAGGTTTAAAATAAAAGTCGCTGATTTATACAAGAGGAAGTCAGTCGTTCGAATGCATAACATCATCAATGTCTCAGCGTCCCTCTGTTTTGGGGAATATCTCTCGTGAAAATTTCATAATAAATATGTAAATAGATGTTAGCAACACTCCTCAGTCTAAATCAAACTAATAAAATATATATGTTCTTGTCGGTAATAAATTTTTCCTCAAATATATAGCAGGTACGAATGATACATAATATCATATCGTTTCCCCTAAATACTTCAAGTAATTGTTTCATTACACTATTTTGACTTGATGAAATATTATTGTGGTAGAAAATACACCTTATAAATTTAAAACCATATAGCATGTATGGTATATATGTGGATATATAATGCAGGAGAATAATTCCTGGTTATGGTGGGTGTGGTGGAGTGTGTGTGTGAGAGTGACAGTAGCCATCATGTCTGTGAACACGTCTCATGCGGGCAAGGGTGTCCTTATATATGCTGGAGAATGGTGAGATTAATCATCAAATATGTATTATGTTCCTATCTCGCGGCGATATATTTAACGCGGAGTATATTGCGGGAGTGTGTTTGACGAGGCTTCGTAATAGACAGTAATGGGAAGTCACTGTTCACTACTCGAGGACCCTAATGGAAATAGTCTTGCTTTTTGGGGGGTTATCCTAGGTAATTTACACATAATTGCATTTATATGTACCTGTGCCTAAATAAATTTACTTACGTGATGTATATTTTATACATCCATAACATGTATGCTCTCAAGAAGTGTTATGTATGCAAAGTCTAACTAGAAATTTATTACGTAACTTGTGTTGATATTCATGTTACTACATTAATTTTATAATGTTTATTAATAATAAAAGCTACATACTTATATAACAGGACAAGTGTTTTCTGACGCGGGTCTTAGATGATAACCTGCCGTTGAAGCTTTTGGTCATCTGACCGAGGCCTTCCGCTGGCTTACCAGTCCACCCCTTTAAAAATTATGGTTATACCTATACCATTTCTTATGTGCTTGAAGAAACACTCCATTATACAAGCCTGCTGACCCACTCGCACCCACTCATGTATCCATCTAACCTATATTTTAAAGCTTGCCAAAGTTGTTGCTTCCGTGCCACTACCTGAGAGTATATATCACAGCTGAGTTGTATGCCATTCTCATTGCAATCATCTGTATTGCATCTATACCTACTTCAAAGTTTGTAATCGTCTCAGATTCCTTTAGTGCTTTGCAAGCTTTAAAAAATTTGATCCACCTCATCCCCTAGTTCTTCATATGCAACTTGGATTACGCTGCATTACTAGCAGAAATAAAGAAATTGTTTTCTGTTGGGGTCCCTGGTCATGTTGATGTTCAGGGCAATGAGCAGCCAGAATCTGCTGTGCAGTCTGCCATACACGACCTACCAGTTTCATGTAGAGGTATTCCATTCTCTGACTATTTTGCTGTAATCTCTATCCACCCTCACAACCGTTGGCAACAACATTGGTCTAATGTGATTCTTAACGAATTACATTCTATCAAACCAAATTTGGGTTTCTGGCCTTCTTCTTGTCATTGATACTGAGGTTGGGAGACAACACTCTCGTCTTCACATCAGATGCACTCCTGGAGAGGCATCCTGTTTCACTTTGTGAGAATTGTCTAGTTCCTGTTTTAATTTCTCATATTCTGTTGGACTGTCCTGTCTATCAACGAGCACACAGAATTTTCCTCCAATGTCATCACTGCTCTAATGCTCGTACTTTATTTTCCCTCCTTGCTGACAGACCCACCTTTGACACAGACTCCCTCTTCAACTTTTTGATAGCAACTGATTTATTACACAAACTTTGATAATCCTTCCTTTAGCATTCCTCACAGCCCCTCCTAACTTGACTTTTATTGTCATCTCCGCCCTTATTTATCCTTACACAGTATTGTATTCTTTATTGTGGCCTACCACCTCAAATTCTACATTAGAATAAACTTCTAGGGGTTTAGTTCTTCCCTGAGGAAACTGGGAAACATTCATATTCAATCCAGGAGGAAAGGGAGGGCAGGTTCAATTCTTTGGATCAAACAGTCCCACTGGCATTAGGGAACCTTCTTTGAAGGGATATTCATGTTACAGAAGGACTCCAACAGAAATAGTGACTTTTCCAAGATTAATTTACATATGCATGCACACATGGACACTTGTTATATACTCTACAAACAAAATTCTAAATGTGTGTTTTTGAACCTAAATATAAACTAACTTAGGAGAGGGGAGCTTTTGACAATGTTTTGGTCTGACTTTGACCATTTACAAAGTTAGTGTGATTTTGTAAATGGTCCAAATCAGACTGAAACGTCGTCGTAAGCTCCCTTCTCCTACGTGCGAGTTATTTGTGTATTGTTCCAGTCACGGTATTGTGCCTTTTTGTTATTTTAAACTAACTTACAGTATATACATTAAAAGATGGCCTATACGTATAACTTAATCTGAATACCAGTTGAATCCAACCACTGGCTTTATCAATTGGAAAACAGATCACTTCCAGCTTATGGTGATTCTGTTGGGACTCCTAGCCTCCTCCAGAGACCTTAGCCTAAAGGAAATACTTGATTTCTCAACCAGCTTCTATCCCTCTCTGGTACTTCTTTCACTGCAAACTTGATTAGGCCAGGAAATGATGATGAATCAGGAAACCACTTTTGACCAACATTTCACCTTGGTCTCTGGTGAATCTCAGTGAAGGGATATAAATGCACTGGAAAATGTACAGAGGAGGATGACAAAGTTGATTCCATGTATCAGAAATCTTCCCTATGAGGATAGACTGAGGGCCCTGAATCTGCGCACTCTAAAAAGGCATAGAATTAGGGGGGGATATGATTGAGGTGTATAAATGGAAAATGGGCATTAATAAAGGGGATGTAAATAGCATGCTAAAAATATCTAACATAGACAGGACTCGCAGCAATGGTTTTAAATTGGAAAAATTCAGATTCAGGGAGGATATAGGAAAGCACTGGTTTGGTAATAGAGTTGTGGATGAGTGGAACAAACTCCCGAGTACTGTCATAGGCGCTAAGATGTTGTGTAGTTTTAAAAATAGGTTGGATAAATACATGAGTGGGTGTGGGTGGGTGAGAGTTGAACCTGACTAGCTTGTGCTACTAGGTCGGATGCACTGCTCCTCCCTTAAGTGACGTGTCTGACCTCGCTAAGTCAAGGCAATGGCTTAAGCTGATGGGAGAAATGGAGCTGCCTTGCATAGGCCAGTAGGCCTGTTGCAGTGTTCCTTCTTTCTTATGTTCTTTTGTTCTTATATTGACTCTAGTCATGTCAGTATACAGATCTACAGTACAGGGAATGATGTCAGCACTTCCTGGATTTAGTGCTTTCTTTGAATATACAGTTAATGCTCTTTACAGTAGTACTTAAAAAATTAACTTCCTGAAAGAATGAAACAAAAGGCTGTTAAAGCTAAAATTCTATTTTGTTTTTTGTTTTTGTTTTACAATTGTATTTGTAATGCAGATTAAAGAACATTTATTATTATGCTAGTAAATGCAATATATAGTTTGGTGAATTATATAAGGTATCACTATACTGTTGTTTACAATTAAATTGCAATAAATAGGTGCTCAGAAAAATGTCAGCACAGTAAAAGTATAGACCTTCAAAGCATTAAATATCCAAAGGGAGTACTGTACAGTATTCACAGGGTGTCCAGTTCATCTTGATACACACTGCTTCAGTTTTTATTTCACTTGTTTCTGGAACCTTTAAGACTGACTGACAATGTTTAGCTAGACAACAATGCAGTATTTCAATTTTTTTTTACATTCTTTATTATTTGAATTCATAAGTATGTCTGTTTTATCATTGATTATCTTCATAGTATGTAAGTTTGTGACCATGAAGACAGGTTGGCACTGTCTGGGTTTGTTATTCAAGCTGTAGACTTGAACTTAATCTACACATGTGTATTTTTTGCTTCAGTATAATCTTGTACTGTGATCATGTGACGATGGAGTTTGGAGGAGCATTGCCTCCTGAGATGAAGGGAAGCAAGACAGGCCGCTTATACTTAACATCGCATCGTTTCATCTTCAACAACAAGGATTCAAAGGACCGTCTTCAGTCGTTTGCTGCACCTTTCTTCTCGCTGAAGGGGGTGAGTCATCCTATCAGTTGGTCATTGGATTTCTATGCACCTTCTGTATTTTCATTGCTTTCACAGATCAGAGTAAGTGGAATTAAGTAGTTTTTATGGCTTGATGTGCTGTTCAGGAATTCAGGAAAACTGGTTAGCCAGACTTAAGTCCTGGAGATGGAAAGTACAATGCCTGCACTCTGACAGAGGGGTGGGGATGTTGCAGTTTGATGGGTCATGCTCTTCTGGCATGACATTACTGAGTAAGTGATGTTCAGTTTGTTTTCTTTTTTGAGTCGCCCTACCTTGATGGGATTGGCTAAATGATAAAAAAAAAAAATCTTCATTCTCATGTTGTATTTAGTCCAAAATATTGTCCTTACTCTTACAATTATTATAAAGCTTTTGTAATGTACTGTGCTATAAAGCTTATTTGATGGAGAGTAATGCTTTTAAAAAACAACTACACAATACTGTACGCCACTTGTCTTTGCTGGTGCACTAAAAAAGTCAACTGTGGATTGGCTGAGGGTTATTAACCCTTTCAGGGTCCGTCCCGTAGATCTACGGCTTTGCGTTCAGTGTCCAAACCGTAGATCTACGTCATGAGCTCAGCTCACTCTGATAAACTGTGAGTGGTACACTTGGGCCTAGATATGAGAGAATACATCTATGTGGTATGTGTGCACCACATAAAACAAATCCTGCAGCACACTGTGTATAATGAGAGAAAAAAAACTGAAACCAAGATTTTCGATTAAAACAGCAACTTTGCAGTGTTTTTTCGTATGTTTTTTATAGTTGTATTTGCAATTTCTTGGTCTCATTTGATAGAATGGAAGACATATTACAGAAATAGAGATGATTTTGATTGGTTTTAGCACCGGAAATGGCTTGAAACTGAGCTCAAAGTAGCAGAAATGTTAAATTTTTGTCGATGTTCAAGAATAAACAAACGACCTCACACGTCTAATACACGCCAGCTGGTGGATCTAATACACATTCACAAATGTGGTGGTGATATTTATACAATTATTACAATATTGCATAACAGTAAATCTTCTATTTTTTGGTGTGAATAAAAATTCATTATGTAAATAAAAAATAAAAATGGGATTTATTTGTAAAGCCTCAAAACGTAACTAATGAACCGAGGAAATGTTAGTTTAGTGCCAGGAATGCCTATATTGTTTATTCTGGATGCTATTTTGAAATTGGAATATTTTGAACTTTGTGTTAAATTGGCCAAATTACCAATTTCCGATCACTTTATTTTGTAGTTGAAACAGTTGACTTGGCAATTTCTTGTGCTTAATCGATAGAATAGAAGTAATACTAGTAAAATAGCTAAGAATTTGGTCGACTGGAATGATGTAATTGGCCTAAAATGGAAGTCAAAGTCGGCAAAATCGCCGATTCATAAATATCGCTGACACATCAAAATTCGCGAGAGCATAATTTCGTCAATTTTCCATCAAATTTCGTACTTTTTGTTTTATTACCTTCGCAAAAAGATTCTCTACCATTTCATAAGAAAAAATAAATTTTTTTTTTTGGAAAATTCTTGGACACTGGGGCACCACTTCAGATTTGGGCCTTGGACCCTGAAAGGGTTAATGAGAGTTGTTGTATATTTAAATCTATTCTTAGTGTGTAATTTTTTTTTTTACTAATACTAATAATTTAGTAGACTATAATGTATGTATGTGTGTGTGTATTGTACTATAACCAGATCAGATTGTAGTAAAAAATTTTATGTACTATACAAACCTGTAAGGCAAGCTTCTCTCTGAAATGCCACTCATCTCAGATTTAGTGTGAATTAGTTTAGATTGCTCAGTTAGTCTCTCAACACCAAAACATATATACCAGTTTCACAGAATTCATATTTATCCATGACTTGCATTTTTCATGCCTCAAACTCAAGTCGGAGGTAAGGCATCTTGCTTTCTTGCATTGGTGAAGCTTTAATTAGTTCTTATCTTGCTGACTTAGGTTGTGTTTACATTTTTTCTTTTAATGTTGAAAAAATTTGAGAGAAGTAACTTGGAAGTGCAGTATTTTCACAATTACTATACTTCTGACAGTATAATAATTGTGACAGTAAGTTGATAGTTATAAAAGTTTATGAAAGGAGAAGTTGAAGTAGGGAAAGTTATAAAAGTATTTAAAGAAAACAATAAGGGATATAAATGCTTGAAAATTCTTGTAAGCATTTATGATATTTTGTAAGAACAATGAGGAGAGTTATGTAAGCATGTCCTGAGAGAGAGAGAAGAGAGAGAGAGAGAGAGAGAGAGAAGAGAGAGAGAGAGAGAAAGAGAAGGAAGATGATGAAAGAAAGAAACTGGTCATTTTAATGCAAAGAGTGGGTGGGTGTATGAGTTGCTGACAGTGTTTAGTTTGAATTAATTTGGTTCGTAATGGTTTGTAGGAAGGCAACCATCGAGTCTAACAAAAATATGTTGTATCTCTGACAACATTGTGATGTCTCTGACAACATATCCCTCAGACTACAATCCTAGTTACATTTCGTCATCATAAAAATAAAAGCTAAATTCTTGCAGATTAATTAGCCAAAGATCTTCCAGTAGATGACATTAAATCTGCTGGCAGATTTAGTATAGGTCATCTTGACATACAGTAAGATAACTTAAATGTGATGCATTGGTGATGGAATTAAGTAATGATAGTGTGACTGTGTGGCTTCTAGTGATAAGATGTGATAGTGAGTCAGTTATCACCTGCCAATATATTATCACTTGTACACTGTCTCATCGCTTCCTGGTTATTGCTGATCTGTATTAGCTTGTCTTCAGGGTTATAATCAATGTGTTTATACAGTTCATCAATAAACACAATTCATTACAACACTGAGCTGCTGCTGCAGCAGCAGCAGCAGCAAACACACTGCCAGAAAATAGCACATAGTAGTTAGTATTTGCATATTTTAGAGGAAATAAATAGGTCTGGAAACAAATGTACTGTGTAGAGATATTCAGAATGAAGATGTACTGAATATTACAGGGTTTTTTTTCCTCTCACTTGTATTTGACTTTAGTGTACCATTACTATATTCAGGATATTGAATGTAATTTTGTCTTAAAAGTATTGGATGGTATTAAACTTGAAGAGTGTAAGACCACTATAATATAAATTTTATTTTAAAAAATATACATAACTGTTACAAAATTAGGGTACTTGATTAATATTTTTGAAAAACTTCAGGTTATTCTGAGTATTTCAGGCAAACTAAAACTCTTTGACATTATGTAGATTTTCTAACAGTGTTTTAATGTAGCTGGTAGACGGGAAACTTGGAATTTTCTGGTCAAGAGTTGCACATCTTTAGGCATTTAACTCTTTCAGTGGCTGTTACATAGAACCACATTATTGGGGCCAGGGTTCCTCATGTAGTTCTTTGTCTTGAGATCAGCTCACTCAGATAAGCTATGAGTGGTAAATTTTGGCCTAGATATGAGGGAATGAGTCTGTGCAGTGAATGTGCACAGTGTAAAAAGATAAAAAAAATCCTGCCCCATGCTGTGTATGATGGGAAAAACAAAACTCTGAGAGTGTGTATGGTTTAAAATAGAGACTTAGGTGTTTTCTTGGATGGTTTTATTGGCTATTTCTTGTTATCATTTGATAGAATAGAAGACATAATGGATTAGAGATGATTTTGAGTGGTTTCAGAACAGAAAGTAACTTGAAATTGAGCTCAGAGTGGCAGACATGTTCGATTTTTGCCTATATTCCTGAGGATGTGTAAGGCCTCCCCTATGCCCCTAGTCTTTTTAATGGATATTTAATAGATCTGATTCTTTTATTGGAACACTTTAAACCATGACCAATCATTCCTGGTTATATTTTATTATCCAAGAAATAGTAAATCTTCTATTTTTGTGTTATTAAAAATTGAAAATGGAAGGCAAGTGTAATACAGGAGAGGTATGGGAACATGTTTAATGAACTGAGGAAATGTTGTTTTAGTGGCAAATACGTCTACATTGTTTATATTGGACTCTTATTTTTAAATTGGTATTTTTAATTTGCCAAATTATTGAATTCTGTGCACTTTATAGGATAGTTGAATGGGCGGTTTCTTGTGGTCAGTCAATAGAACGGAAGGCATACAAGTGTAATAGCTAAGAAGTGGTAGTGGAGCAATGGAATTGGGTTAAAATAGGATTCAAATTTAGCAAAATTGCCGATATGTAAATTGCAACGATACTACTAACTTTTCGTCTGCATAATTCCATAAGTTTTCCATCAGATTTTGTACTTTTGGTGTCATCACCTCCAGAAAGCTTCTCTACCATTTCAGAAGGGTAAAAAATATTTTTTTTTTTAAGTAGACTTTGAGAGTAATGTTAATTTTGGGAGTCTGTGACAATAAAAGTGTTAATTTGTATGGAACTTCTACTCCAGTTGTATCAAACATATGGTATATCAAAGACAGATCTATTTCTTGTCTTCCTATGTATTCTGTTACAGTTCTTAAAGAAGAATTTTAGCATACAACGTAATAAGTACATACATGTATTTGCCTATATTTGGTTGCAGGGGTCTAGTCTTAGCTCCTGGCTGCACCTCTCAACTTGGAGCATGGCAGATTCACTCTCTCCTAGCCTCATGGGCCATGTTGTACCTTTTCTTAAAACTATGTATAATCTTTGTCCACCACTTCATGATCATTCCACTTCTTGACCACCCTGAGAATGGAGAAATATTTCCTGACATTCCTGTGACTTGTGTGTGTCTAATTTCCAGCTGTGCCCCTGAGCACTTGTTTACTGCCTCTCACATAGCCTGTCCCTATCAATTCCTCCGAGTATTTTGTATGTTATTATGTCTCTTGTTAAGTAATTTGAATAGTGAGAGTATATGTTATCGTGTGGCCAGATGGCCTGGTGGCTAAAGCTCCCGCTTCACACACGGAGGGCCCGGGTTCAATTCCCGGCAGGTGGAAACATTTCAACACATTTCCTTACACCTGTTGTCCTGTTCACCTAGCAGCAAATAGGTACCTGAGTGTTAGTCGACTGGTGTGGGTCGCATCCTGGGGACAAGATTAAGGACCCCAATGGAAATAAGTTAGACAGTCCTCGATGACGCACTGACTTTCTTGGGTTATCCTGGGTGGCTAACCCTCCGGGGTTAAAAGCCCGAACGAAATCTTACCTTATCTTAACCTGATTGAGAGTTCATTATATAATAGCAGATTTTTGTCACAGTATGATGGATTAAGTGTGACTCGCTGTTGAATTCACCTGTACATATACCATAAGTGAGGTAAGGATAGATTAGGGTAGCACAGAGTGAGTAATGTTTGTTGACAGGAGTGAGTGGTGGCAAATAATTTTTGGGGTCTGATGAGCTGTTGGAATGTGAGCAAGGTAACATTTTGTGAAGGGATTCAGGGTAACCAGTTAGCCAGACTTGAGTCGTGGAGGTGGGAAGTACAATGCCTGCTCTCTAAAGGAGGGGGTGAGGATACTTGCTGTATGGAGGGACATCTGAACTGTCATATCTGTGCACTTCTGGTGCATGGATGATGGTGTGATTGATGGTGAAAGTGGTTCTTTTTTGGGCCACCCTACCTCGGTAGGAGACAGTTAAAAAAAAAATGTGGTGGATAACAAAAAAAGGCACAATACCGTGGCTGGAACAATGCACAAATAACTTGCACATAGTAAGCTCCTCTCTTCTATATGCGGGTTTTATTTGTGTATGTGGTGGATACAAGTGTTGAATTTTGGTTTGCTGTGCAGATGTAAACCTAAGAACGTTCCTTGTCTTGGCTCTTATTCTGTATTATTTATTTTCGTGTTCTTTGGAATATTTTTAGCTCTAATCCCCAAATCCATGAAGAAGATCTTATTACTGTTGAGTGAGTTTGTTGGTTCTCATTACAGTAGTTATTTTTATTAGCTCATCATTAACAGTCATAGTGAGGAGAATTGCATCTGGATTTAAGATAATAAAATTTGTCATCTGCAAAAAAGAACTGGTTTAAGTTCCCGAGAGGCATTGAGTAAATCATTGATGTAAGTGAGAAATAGCGGAGTGAAGCTGCTGCCCTATGACAACCCTGTATTGATAGGTTCATTAAGTATTTTTATTAAAGTTTTTTGTCATGTAATCACTTGTCTTAGTTTCTGTGTGCCTCTGTATATTTCCTTTCTACAGTTTTATGTTTGTCTGTAGTTCCTTTCTCATAAGAAATAAGAGTTTTTACATAGAATGCTTATTGTACCTAAAATTCTTATCACTGTATCTCTTGTAATAATGAAGGGTTATCACTTAAAATAATGATTATACTTAATATTCTTATTTCTCTATCTATAACTACTTTTTTGTACACTGTTTCAGCTCATGCATAATTATGGGCTTTTCCATGTATGATATAAGTGTATATAATGTAATACTGTTGAATGCACCATGGATAATAAACTAATTAAAGCATACCATCCCTTAGTAGTTAATCCTGCCAATATTTTAAACTTTTTATACATTTTTATAAATAAAAATGCATGTTTTCCCACTTGAAAATTTTCAGTAATGATATTTTATAAAGCAAATAGAAAATTTATTGCAATTTGCAATATTGGGTAAAGTTTGTGTCCAGTTATTGTTTTTTATTAGGTTATTGAACAACATAATCTCACTGTACAGCACAAAGTATTTGCTGGTACTGTTTATACAGTCTTGTAGGAGGAAGAGAAGACAATATTTTTTAAAGATGTCTTCAGTAGTCTAGGTAGTAGGTTGGTAAACAGCAACCACCCAGGGAGGTACTACCGTCCTGCCAAGTGAGTGTACAACGAAAGCCTGTAATTGTTTTACATGATGGTAGGATTGCTGGTGTCTTTTGTCTGTCTCATAAACATGCAAGATTTCAGGTATGTCTTGCTACTTCTTCTTGCATTTAGGTCACACTACACATACATGTACAAGCATATATATACACACACACACCCCTCTGGGTTTTCTTCTATTTTCTTTCTAGTTCTTGTTCTTGTTTATTTCCTCTTACCTCCATGGGGAAGTGGAACAGAATTCTTCCTCCGTAAGCCATGCGTGTTGTAAGAGGCGACTAAAATGCCGGGAGCAAGGGGCTAGTAACCCCTTCTCCTGTATATATTACTAAATTTAAAAAGAGAAACTTTAGTTTTTTCTTTTGGGCCACCCCGCCTCGGTGGGATACGGCTGGTATGTTGAAAGAAAGAAAGAAAAAGTCTTCAGTAGTGGAGGTAAGAAGAGTCTTTGGTAGTATGGGAAAAAATAATACACAGTATTACTCATAAAGTATATTTCTATCTTCATTATTAAAACTGCTTCAGATTTTGGATACCTATACTTAGACCCAAATATGTATGTGTTGTCATAACCTGTTATTTCTTTCAGATTAATTAAGAAATTCTACATTATCTCAAGAGGTACTGTTGTAGAAACATGATTATCCTCCATCCTTGCCCTTCAGCAGTTTATTATATATCTAGTTAATATATCGATCATTTTTATTACAGGTTGAGCTTGAGCAGCCTGTCTTTGGTGCCAACTATATTAAAGGGACAGTGACTTCACAGCCTAATGGTGGCTGGAATGGAGAAGCCAAGTTCAAGTTGACATTCAAACACGGCGGAGCAATAGAGTTTGGACAGGCCATGCTAAAAGTGGCATCAATGGGTTAGTAATCTGCTTCAAAATGTTGTGGCAGATAGCTTTATGGTTTGTACAAATATGTGTAAATGTGTTTAGCATATTTGTAAAAGAGGAGAATGCTAAGGTGTTAGAGAGATGTGGGATTACAAGATCACGTATTTGATTCAAAGTAGGAGTTGTCATAGTTGCTCTTTGCCGATGACACAGTTTTTATGGGAGATTATGAAGAGAAGTTGCAAAGGGTATGTCTTAACCTTACCTTTTCAGTAATATTTCTACTGTAAACTTTGCACAGCATACTCAGCAGGTTTATCCTCCTATAATTCTTATATTCTCTCTTGTCACCTTCTCCTTTATATGAGGGAACTATGCATGCTTCTCTGCCTATTCTCTGGCATCTTTCCTTCTTTCATACATTTTTTTAACAAGTCGGCCGTCTCCCACTGAGGCAGGGTGACCCAAAAAGAAAGAAAATCCCCAAAAAGAAAATGCTTTCATCATCATTCAACACTTTCACCTCACTCACACATAATCACTGTTTTTGCAGAGGTGCTCAGAATACAACAGTTGAGAAGCATATACATATAAAGATACACAACATATCCCTCCAAACTGCCAATATCCCAAACCCCTCCTTTAGAGTGCAGGCATTGTACTTCCCATTTCCAGGACTCAAGGCCGGCTATATATAAAAATAACCGGTTTCCCTGAATCCCTTCACTAAATATTATCCTGCTTACACTCCAACAGATCGTCAGGTCCCAAATACCATTCGTCTCCATTCACTCCTATCGAACACGCTCACGCACGCCTGCTGGAAGTCCAAGCCCCTCACCCACAAAACCTTCCTTACCCCTTCCTTACAACATTTTCGAGGACGACCCCTACCCCGCCTTCCTTCCCCTACAGATGTAAACGCTCTCCATGTCATTCTACTTTGATCCATTCTCTCTAAATGACCAAACCACCTCAACAACCCCTCTTCAGCCATCTGACTAATACTTTTATTAACTCCACACCTTCTCCTAATTTCCACACTTCGAATTTTCTGCATAATATTTACACCACACATTGCCCTTAGACAGGACATCTCCACTGCCTCCAACCGCCTCCTCGCTTCTGCATTCACAGCCCAAGCTTCACACCCATATAAGAGTGTTGGTACTACTATACTTTCATACATTCCCTTCTTTGCCTCCATAGATAACATTTTTTGCCTCCACATATACCTCAACGCACCACTCACCTTTTTTTCCCTCGTCAATTCTATGATTAACCTCATCCTTCATAAATCCACCCGCCGACACGTCAACTCCCAAGTACGTACGTATCTGAAAACATTTACTTCTTCCATACTCCTCCTCCCCAATTTGATATCCAATTTTTCTTTATCTAAATCATTTGATACCCTCATCACCTTATTCTTTTCTATGTTCACTTTCAACTTTCTACCTTTACACACACTCCCAAACTCATCCACTAACCTTAGCAATTTTTCTTTAGAATCTCTCATAAGCACAGTATCATCAGCAAAAAGCAACTATGTCAATTCCCATTTTGTATTTGATTCCCCATAATTTAATCCCACCCCTCTCCTGAACACCCTAGCATTTACTTCTTTTACAACCCCATCTATAAATATATTATACAACCATGGTGACATTACACATCCCTGTCTAAAACCTACTTTTACCAGGAAGTAGTCTCCCTCTCTTCTACACACTCTAACCTGAGCCTCACTATCCTCATAAAAACTCTTTTCAGCATTTAGTAACTTACCACCTATCCCGTATACTTGCAACATCTGCCACATTGCTCCCCTATCCACTCTATCATATGCCTTTTCCAAACCCATAAATGCAATAAAAACTTCCCTACCTTTATATAAATACTGTTCACATATATGCTTCAATGTAAACACTTGATCTACACATCCCCTACCCACTCTAAACCTCCTTGCTCATCCACAATCCTACATTCTGCCTTGCCTCTAATTCTTTCAATTATAACTGTACTGTACACTTTTCCTTGTATACTCAGTGAACTTGTTCCTTTATAATTTTTACAATCTCTTTTGTCCCCCTTCTCTTTATATAAAGGGACTATACATGCTCTCCCCCAATCTCTAGGTACTTTCCCCTCTTTCATACATTTTTTAAACAAAAATGCCAACCACTCCAACACTATATCTTCCCCTGCTTTTAACATTTCTGTCATGATCCCGTCAGTTCCAGCTGCTTTACCCCCTTTCATTCTACGTAATGCCTCACGCACCTCCCCCACACACGCATCCTGTTCTTCTTCACTCCTAAAAGATGGTATACCTCCCTGGCCAGTGCATGAAATTACCACCTCCCCTTCTTCGTCGACATTTAAAAGTTCCTCAAAGTATTCTCGCCATCTGCCCATACATACTCATACATATGTTGAACAAATACACGAACCACTTCAACACTATATCTCCACCTGCTTTTAACAAAACCCATTTCCAGCAGCTCTACCTCATTTCATTCTACCCACTTCCTTGTGCAGTCTTTCCTTATTCACCCAAGCTGCTGCTTGGAGTTATCAGTGTTACCACACCCTGCCCAATGCATGAAATTACCACCTGCCTTTTATTAATATTCAGCATTTTGTCAGAATACCTTCTTCATCTTTCCATTAACTCCACCTCCACATATAACATCCTCCCTTTCTTCATTGTTGCCATGGGTAAATTTTACACCAGAGGTGTGTGTATTTTCTGTAGTGATAAATATGAAATCACTTAAAATGAGATCTCTCTACAGCCAATCGCAACATGGACACGAGTTACCGTGATGCACCACCGCCTTATACACCACCAGCATCCACCTGGACCCAGGCTCCACCCCCTGCCTATGCTCCTCCTGCTGGTGGCTACTACGGATGGGTGCCACCTGTCAACACCTTCCCTGATCGCCCACCAGGTGTGTCACATCTTAGCGTGTTAAGGTACCACGAGAGTACCATTAGAAAACTATGCCTTCTCTTTCAGGAAATCTTAAAAACTTGCTAGTAAAATAGAAAGGGAAAAAAATTTTGTAATATTTGTGACATCACTTATTTTGCAGATTTTAATGTTTTATATAGTGTGGTTGTTGGTTGTAATAGAAATAGTATTTGGAAGAGTAGTATGAGTCAGGCATTACTACGTCAGTTTCCGCTTCAACATCCATTAGCATAATAGGGAACTGTTGCCTCCACCTAACTTAACAACCTAACCTAACCTCCCACCCTCCCTTCCTTACTGAGTGTGGTTGTATCTGTCTGCCTGTCTCTCTCATTACTAAATCCAATTCTATAGCTGATGTTCCTTCAAGGGAGGTTCCATGAGGCCAATGAGGGTCTTTTGACCCAAGGAATTGGACCTAGCTTCTCTTTCCTTAGATTGAGCCTGATTACCTCCAATTTCCTTAAGGTGCTCTGACCCCCTTTCCCCCATGATTATAATAATTATAAGCTGGTGCTAATGTATATAATTATTTTTAGTGACACTTTCTGGATTTTTTTTTCAGCTGATGGTGTATTCATGTATGAGGCTCCTCCTCCATACCCTGGGATAGGAGGACTGCATGGGTACCCCACTGCCACAGGAGCCACTGGCCTCTCTGCTGCAGGTTTGTATAGAGCTTCGTAAAAAAAATTAATTTATACTAGCAACTTGAGATGGTTTGGTCATTTAGAGAGGATGGATCAAAGTAGAATGACATGGAGAGCGTATAAATCTGTAGGGGAAGGAAGGCAGGGTAGGGGTTGTCCTCGAAATGGTTGGAAGGAGGGGGTAAAGGAGGTGTTGTGGGCGAGGGGTTGGGACTTCCAGCAAGCGTGCGTGAGCGTGTTAGTTAGGAGTGAATAGAGACAAATGGTATTTGGGACCTGACGAGCTGTTGGAGTGTGAGCAGGGCAATATTTAGTGAAGGGATTCAGGGAAACCGGTTATTTTATATAACCGGACTTGAGTCCTGGAAATGGGAAGTACAATGCCTGCACTCTAAAGGAGGGGTTTGAGATATTGGTAGTTTGGAGGGATATATTGTGTATTTTTGTACGTATATACTTCTAAACTGTTGTATTTCTGGGCACCTCTGCAAAAACAGTGATTATGCGTGAGTGAGGCGAAAGTGTTGAATGATGATGAAAGTATTTTCTTTTTGGGGATTTTCTTTCTTTTTGGGTCACCCTGCCTCAGTGGGAGACAGCCGACTCATTGGAAAAAAAAAAACTGGAAAAAGAGAGGAAAAAAAAGCCCTGTGTTTTATGAGGTTTTTCTTCTGTTCTTTGGCTGCATTCCAAGACTGTCTTAGTCAGACTTACTTTATACGTTAAATGTATTATAGTGCAATGTGGTATGGTGTATTGCTTTTGGGTTCTATATCATTTGTCTTATGTGGAATAATGGGTATAAGCTGACAAATGGTGGTAGAAAGACATAGCAAAGAACCTTTTATTTATACAAGGTGTCACCCAAAACCTTGTACAAATAATGGGATTGTCTGTCATAAGTGTCTTCTAAATTAGTTTGAAATATGATATGGGAGCCTTCAGTTCATAGAGGAATGTAAATGGCTGATAGTGAGGATATTCAAGAATTGTTTTAAAGCTACCAATTGGTAAACAATTTAAATATTGTAGAGCAAAATTGTGATACCTTCTCTCTATATATTCACCCAGATGCTAAGGCTCAAGAGGCAGCTCAGAGTGCATACTATGATCCCAACAACCCTCAGTATGCCTATGTTCCCCCACCAGCATATGTAAGTACTGTACTCATAACACCTAAATAGTAAATTTAATCAAAAGTTTTAGAGCTGAGCATTAAAATTTAACTGTAATTCAAGAACTTTACAACAAAAAAAACAGTGAGAGGAGATAGCCGACATTAATTAGCATAAAATACTGTTATAATAATGCTCTTGAATAATTAAATAAAAAAGTACAAGTAAAGCCTTATTCATGTTTCAACAGTCTGAGTCGCCACCTTCGTATGATGCTGCTACCAAGAAATCCCAATGAAGAGGGAACTTTTCTCGATTTATCCAGAGGTCTTATCAGCATTGCTCCTGAGAATATGATCCTACAATTTATATAATACCACTTAGTTGCAATTGATTTCCATAATATATTTTGGAAGTTGTATATTTTTTTTTGCATATGATTACTTATTTGTGCTATGCTTGCCATATATTTTAAAGTGTCCAGTGGTTGTAGCACATGAGTCTTCCTCCTGGATCCCATTCCATTATGCTACCACTCTGAAAAAAAAAACTTCTTGTATCCTTTTGACATGTTTTCTGGTTATAATATTGTTTTTGTTCATTATGCCAAGAAATTTACTTTATTTTCTCATATCTTTTTATAATGTGACATAATGTCTACACTTTTATTTACTGTTAACTAATGAGGGCATTTTTTAATGTTTTTAATTTTTCTTTATAACTAACATTTCATAGCTCTGGGAACCATTTTGATGCATACATCTTCAATCTTATTTTACATTTTTTCTTAAGGTGTAGACACCTCCAACACACTACATACCAGTTTAGGTCGAATGTATGCTATAGGCATTTTTGTAGCATATCATCATCCGTATATCTAAAGGCTATTTTGAAGTTTGCCAATCTAGTATGCAAGTTTCTCATGACTATTTGTGATCTTCCAGTGACAATATTTTGTCTGTAATTATCACTATAAACTCTCCTCCCCTTTGTCAAATGCTGTTAATGTGTGATCACTTTCTACTACATTTTTTTTTTTTGTCAACAAACCAGCCATATCCCACTGAGGCAGGGTGACCTAAAAAGAAAAACAAAAGTTTCTTTTAAAATTGAGTAATTTATATAGGAGAAGGGGGTCACTAGCTCCTTGCTTCCAGCATTTTTAGTAGCCTCTTAAGACACGCATGGCTTACAGAGGAAGAATTTTGTTCCACTTTCCCATGGAAGATATTCTTCATTTGGTTATGTATTTTTTTATTTCCATTACATGCCACTTTTTTTTCCTAATCTTCTGCCACCCATTTACTTTGTTTATCTGCATCATCTTGTAGGAAGTATCATTTCTATTAGAGTTCTTCCTTATTTTTGCTAGGTCACAAACTGCATTGGTTCATATTATGTATGGTTTGTTTGTTAGCACCAGCTTCACTAAATGGTGTTTGAAACTCAGTATTTAGCAGAATCAGTGTTAAACCATATACTGTATACATGTCAGTCCTTTTATTCTTAAATTGAAGTTTACTTATTTTACATAGGTTTTTCTGTATCAATACAATCAGATTCATTCAGTATACTTTATTCCTTTTGGCAAGTTAGTTATATAAATTAAAAATATTGTATATATTTATGTAAGTATGTACTGATCTTTGTGGAACTCCATTAGTTAAAATTTACCACACTGACATTTTCCCTTATATTACTGTTCACATTCTTTCATATGGCAAATCATTCATTTATTATAATAGTTTCTTTTATTTCTAGATTATTCTTACATTGACAACACACTTATCAAAGGTTTTTTGAAATCTTAATAAATGCAATCAGGCCATCTGCTTTCTTGAATAATTCATGACCCAGTCTTGGCATAATATAATATCAGTGCTTCTGGATATATTTGCACTCACTAATAACCTTTGCATTTTAAATCTGCACAGTTGCAACAAATGTACCTTAAGTACCTTTTGAGGTTACCCACTATCAAACACTTTTACTTACAGTATTTTAACGTGTGGTAAGATTACAAAGCAACTCACGGGAAAGAATTATATGTAATGCTAATTTTCAGTTGTTAAGTGCAAATTGGTGGAACATTAAAAGATCAGGGTTTTTAACTTTCGTAATGATTATACCACGTTCATTATAAAGTTAATACATTTATCAAAGTTGTCACTGGCTGCTATATGTCAATAGTTATACCATAAAGCAAGTTGGAAAAACACTTCATAATGAGTTTATCACCTTTTCTCTAGTGCATTTTACACTGATAAAATAGAAGCATTGCTAAATAGTTGCCATTGTTATTCATTTATTTTTATAAGTTTTTATAAGTTTATTTTTGTAAGTTAAGAGGTTGAGGCTCATGGTAAATTGGTGAGTTAGTTTCCTCATGATTCATAACCATAAACTACAATAATGTAGAAACATACATGTCATTTTGTGGAAATTTGTGAAAGGCTGGGTTGACTGAGATGAACTTTTTCAAAAATTTAGTAATTTATGAAAAGGTTGCTTCCTGTATTGTTAAACTTCTGTAGTAAATGAAAACTTAATGAACAAGCTATGTATTTATTAAATTATGTAAAGAGATACACCACGGTTGTTTTTTCACCAGTGTTAAAGTTAATGCTGGAATCATCGTTTCACATTAATGCACCATAAATTAACATGGGGGTTATATATGTATGTAAATTTACTACTTTTTTATAATGAAATTTCCAGATAGAGAGGAAGCATTAACCAGCTCTTAACAGTTTCCTTCACATTCCTAGGATAAGTATTGACATGATACATGTTTTGTTGCATACATTTATTTTGAAAATAGTAAAGAAATTTATTACATCAATTTATTATTTTCTTGTAAGAGTGATGTATACACTTTCCTCTTGTTAAAAGGTCTTGCACATTTAAAAGTGTAACTACGACAACTGGAACTACTTATGATTTATTATTCTTTAAATGTCTGTTTCAAATGAAAGTAGTTGATAATTTTAAATTTATCCCATATCACACTTTTCTGTTCTTAAATCTTTTGTGGAAAGAAGCTCTGCAGCACCTAATTTGAGAAACATTGTTGAGCTCTAGCATGATATGGCTTGTATGTTAGAGTTCAGGCATCCTTGTGTTACAAAAGGAATGTGTACTGTAATTTTTTGAGGTAGTCCTCGGTTCTGGTTGTATTTTATTCCTCTAGATAGTGTATTTATTTTCATAGCTTCAGATGTGTACACTGTTAGATCCTACAGCTGAGTCTAGGTTCTGATATGTCCTTGTGATAGAATTTCAGCAGTGTGCAGTGAGGTACCAATGTAACTTCAGAAAAAAGTTTTGCATACTGTAGATCTTCACTGAGTTCATATTTGTTAACTCAGGCTGTATTAAAATAGTATGTAATATTTATGGAAATTTTGAAAGTTAGCCTTCATAGTGTGTATAAAAACAAGCAATGAAATATTTTCACTTGTGGGTTATATAGACATTAATGTTTAAAAGTGGGGAGTGGGAAACTAAGTTGTAGATCTAGTCAGTCTTGGTGCTTGAGGGTGATAGAGACCCAACAGTAACTGGGTTGACATGAGAGATGCATGTCCAGTTAATTTTGCTTTTACAATTTGAAACTTAATAATTGGTTGTAACTGTAAAGGAAACTAGCTTTATATTTAGACTATTTTTTGTTTAACATCTTTTTATATTTTGGGGCTCCTTTGCCTTGATAGCATAGCACAGTAGTATGAAATCATACGAATGGATTGTAGACTCAAGTTTGTTGTGATTGTATTGAACATTATTTTTGTTGCAGAATTCTCTCTACTTGAGTAGATATTGAAAGATATTCAGTTTATTATAAAAAAAAATTATATATTTTGTGATTATTATATATACATTATATATATATAAATATAAATATATCCAGTAAATGTCATGCAACATTTTTTCTCCCATTGATGTTATTACTATAGCTGATACACATGGATGATGGTGACTTAAGTACCTACTCTGAGAATTATAATCACAACTAAGCTCTAAACAACAACGGTCATACAGCATTGTAGTTTTTTTTTTTTTTTCAAAAAAAATTTTTTTGTGTGTATGAAGCTTAGATCTAGACAAGTGGAACCATTTGGCAAATCTATATAGTGATCCTTTGTTTTTCAAACTGAGTCAAAACCTAACTCCAGTAGGCCAGGGAATACTTTGCCTAACAGGTCATCCGATTATGAACACATTGCCTCTTCAAGGGGGGCTCCTTGGCGTGGTGAAGAGGCTCTTGGTCTGAGGAATTAACCTGTCGGTCTACTTCCTCAGACCGAACCTAATTACCCCCCAATGCCCCGTTCCCTATCCCATCCTCCCCTTTTTCCTTTCCTCCTCCTCCTCCTCCCCACCCCTCTCTTTCGCCCTTCCTTTTTGGCCTTTGGTGTTTTTTTTTTTTTTTTTTTCCACAGGCACGCTAGTTCCTAGGTAGGGGAAAGGGTACCGGGGTCCATCCCATTCCGTTGAGGTTCTTGGCGGTGGCGTAGTTTGCCGTGGAATCTGGATTGCCTGGGGATGCCCTGATCCCTCTCCGGTATCCCGGAGGGTGGCTTTGGGTGTATCTCTGGAAGCCACCTTTCGGATTCCGGGGGTGGTGGCCGAAGGAGGTATGCTTTGTGGCGGATTTCCGGCCGCCCTCTCTTTTGTCCACCGAGGTAGCTCGGCAGATGTGAGGTTGCTATCCCGGATTGCCGGTTTACTGGCATGATGGGTAGGGTATGGCATGGGTTCCATGCTGCATCTGCGCTACTTGCGGTGCTGAGGTCTTCTTGGGCGCGGAGGGAGATTTCTGGCCCTTTCATTCCTCCTAGGAACTATCCCTCCCCGGTCCCCCCTTTTTTTATTTCTTTTTTTTTCTTAAAAACAAAACGAAAGAAGTAACCTAACCATGGCAGCCCTAGTCCATGAACCTGCTACCCCCGGGCCCCTTCTTGATACCGCACCCCATTCTGACCCCGCCTCGTCTTTGGACCACTCTTCAGACACTCCTCATGCCTCTGTACCTCTTGCCGGTGCTGTTTCCTCACCCACTTCAGGTACTGAGGCCTCGACGGACTCCTTCGATTTATCTGACCTTCGCTCTCCTCTGACTATGCTTCCGGCCTCTCCCTCTACGGTGCGGCAATTTTCGAATCGCCGGCCCGTTCCACGTCGGACCAACTCTGGTCCCACGCCTAAACGACAACGACAATTACCTGCTGATGATACTTCTCCACCTTCTCGTTCTTCTCAGAAAAGATCGACACGTCCTTCACTACCTTTCCACGCTCAGTTTCAGACTGCACAATGGACTAAATTCTTCACTTTACGACCGACTTCCTCTACTGCCTATCTTTCTGACCACAGTATTGGCAAGGCACTCCTACGCCATGTTGGTAAAGATATTTCTTTTCATGCTCTTATAAGCGGTACGCGCATCGTCACCGTACAGAATGCTACCCAGGCTCATGAGCTTTCTCGTCTTTCCCATATTGATACTGTTCCTGTAACTATTGAAAAGCATCATTCCCTCAATTCTTGTAGTGGTACCGTCATTCTGCCCCATACCATAGTTCAACAAAATTTCCAGACATGTGGCACTGACATTCTTGAACAGCTGGAACTCCAAGATCTTCCAATCCTCAAGGTAGACACTTACGTTCTTCCTGCCCGTGGGCGGAGACGATACCCTAGCAATGTGGCTCGTTTAACTTTCGACAGCCGTGAACTCCCATCCTCAGTTTATGTAGCAGGACATCAGTTACAAGTTCGAAAGGTGATCCCTACACCACAACAGTGTAGAAATTGCTGGCGATTTGGCCATCCAGCGAAATATTGCAGATCTATTGCCGAATGCCCAGTCTGTGGTGCCGATGACCATTCTAATACGTCTTGCAATCGACCTCCCTCTTGCCTTAATTGTCATGAGGCTCACCCTTCGTACTCTCGCCGTTGTCAAGTCTACTTAAACGAGCGAGAAATCCGTTACCTCAAAGAGGCAGGTCTCCCTTATGCCATGGCAGTTTCTCATCTCCGCCTCCAAGGGAGACTACCTCGTGTTTCTTATTCCCGTGTTTCAAAACGTCCCCCCACTTCTGGTATCCCATCTTCTGCACCCACCTCTCTGGTTACCTCTCCCATAGTCACTCCTGTAGCTAATTCTTTTGCTGTCCTCGGCTCAGACGTCCCTACTTCAACGTCTCAGTCTGATCTTGTTTCTTCGTGTTCTCTCTCACAAGCCTCAGTAGCGACGAGATCTCGTATGACACCTCCTCCCAATCGTCTCTCTACTTCTCAAAAGTCAAAAAAAGGTCCGTTAACACCTCCTACCCATCTTCACCTCCTCATTTTCCCTTCCCTGTCTCAGTACCTGGTTCTCCCCCTCTCACTGGCTCTGTTACAAGTGTAGAGGTTCACCCTCCTCCTCATACTGTACCTTCCTCCCCTGTTCCCTCCCAAGTTTCTTCCTCTTCTGCCACCTCCCAGGTTTCTGCCTCTTCTGTCCCCTTTCACGCTTCTCCAGTTCCCTCCACCCTTTTGCCCCCCCCTACCTTGGTACAGTCCATTACAGTTCCAATCTTTACTCATCCTCCCCCTATCATTTCCAATATTGTCTCCCATACGACGTCTCTGAATTCTGAAACACTTGAAGCAATCTCTGAATATATTGCAGAGACCAAACCATCAATGGACACTGATCCACCCTCCGCTCCTTCTCTCTCCTCTACTCCATCTGCGCAACTCCTTTCTTCACAGCGCACCGTTCCTTCGCTGCTTGAACGTTTTCCACTGCCTCCGCATGTGGACTTTTCTAACCCCTCTAGTCCGTAGGAACCCTTACCTGCGGATTTCAGGTATCTTTACCATTGCCAATCATGGCCTATTTACAGTGGAATATTCGCGGCCTCAGGGGTAATCGGGGTGAGCTTCAGATGTTACTCTCCCAGTTTTCCCCTGTTGGTGTTTGCTTACAGGAACCAAAATTACACTCTGCTGTTATTTCTCCCATCTCAGGCTATAATTTATTGTATTCTTCAGATCCTTTTCCTGATGGGACCTTTAATGAAAGTGCCCTTCTTCTACGCACTGATATTCCATACCATCAGCTATTTGTTCGTACTTCGCTGCATTACACAGCAGCCCGTATCCACTTGCATAGGTGGTATACGCTCTGTTCTTTATATCTCTCTCCTTCTCGGGCATTATCTATTCCGGATATTGCCTTTCTTGTTTCGTCATTACCACCACCGATTCTGTTACTTGGTGATTTTAATGCCCACCATTTCCTCTGGGGGGTCTCACTGTGATTCCCGTGGCATTCAGTTAGAGGCTTTTCTTGCCACCCACCCCCTCCATGTTTTAAATACAGGTACTCACACCCATTTTGATCCTCGGACTCATACTCTCTCTTGCATCGATCTCTCAGTCTGCTCTTCCTCCGCCGCATTAGACTTCACTTGGTCTGTTCTTCCGGACTTACATTACAGCGATCATTTCCCAATCATTCTTACTTCCCCTTCATATTCACCACCTCTTCGCATCCCACGCTGGCAATTTGATCAGGCAAATTGGAACCTTTACTCACACCTGTTTTTAGAGAGGTTCCTTCTTCGTCCTCCATCGATGAGCTTTTACAGCTCTTCTTGTCCTCTGTTTTAACCGCAGCTTCTCATTCTATACCCCAAACTTCGGGCAGGCATTCTCAGAAATGCGTGCCTTGGTGGTCTCCTGCTTGTGCTCGTGCAGTACGTTTGAAACGCGCTGCATGGGGCAGGTACCGGTACAATAGAACCACAGAGAGACTTCTTGATTTTAAGCAGAAGCGTGCGATCGCTCGCCATGTCATCCGTGACGCTAAACGCACTTGCTGGCGAGATTGTCTCCACCATCACCTCTGCTTCCTCTATGAGTGCAGTCTGGAAAAAAGTACGAAAACTGAGTGGTAAATATTCTCCTGACCCGGCTCCTGTTCTGCGGGTTGCCGGTGTTGATATAGCAAACCCACTAGATGTTGCCAATGAAATTGGCAATCATCTGGTCCGTATTTCTCAGGGACTCCATCTATGCCCGTCATTTCTTTCCTCAAAGTCGGCCAGAGAGTTAGCACCCTTGGACTTTTCTTCTCTCAGAGAAGAACAGTATAATGTGCCTTTTACACTTCAAGAACTGGAGGCAACACTCTCAGCTTGCCGATCATCGGCAGCTGGGCCCGACGACATTCATATTCGTATGCTACAACATTTACATCAGTCAGCCCTTGCAGTCCTATTATGCCTTTACAATCTTATTTGGTCACATGGAGTTCTTCCACAGCTGTGGAAATCCGCCATTGTTCTCCCTTTCCGCAAACCAGGCACTACGGGACATGAAACCTCCCACTATCATCCCATTGCTCTTACCAGTGCAGTTTGCAAAGTGATGGAACGCCTAGTAAATAGACGTTTAGTGTGGTATTTAGAGACACACAACAGTCTCTCCACTCGTCAATATGGCTTTCGTAAGGGACGTTCTACCATAGACCCCTTACTACGCTTGGATACGTATGTTCGTAATGCCTTTGCGAATAACCACTCAGTTATTGCCATATTTTTTGACCTTGAGAAGGAATATGACACAACTTGGAGGTATAATATTTTAGCCCAAGCCCACTCCTTAGGCCTTCGAGGCAATCTACCATCCTTCCTTAAGAACTTTTTAACTAACAGGCATTTCCGTGTTTGGGTTAATAATGTGCTCTCCCCGGACTTTATCTAAGATGAAGGTGTCCCCCAGGGATATGTTCTGAGCACAACACTTTTTCTCCTCCTTGCTATTAATGATTTGGCCTCTAGTCTTCCATCAAATATTTGGTCATCACTCTATGTTGATGACTTCGCTATTGCCTGTGCAGGCGCTGACTGTCACCTTATT